TCAAGGTTTGTCTTGAGTCAGATTCGATTCACGAGTTTAGACGAATAATTCAATTCCTGAACAGATTTATAATTTATTTCATTAAAAAAAATACGTTTGGAGACATTGGTATTGGATGGAATATTCAACTTTCGGACCTAGAAAAATAGTCTTATCATTTTGGCAATTGGTTGAGTTTCTATTATATTCTTTAACTAAATTCTTTGAAAAAACAATGCAGCTGAGCTGAGCTGAATTGATTCAGAAAAACCCATTAGACTTTTAGACATTTACGTTTCAAACATAGATTCCCACACTCTCTTCATTTAATGAAATTCAAGTTTCTTAATAATTGGCATAGAGATTCCTATTGACGATTTTTTAAAATGTATTTATGATTTTATAAATTACAATAATGTGAGCAGTTGATAACTTATGTATATATAAATCCATTTTATATAATTAAATTTCAATAAAAAAAAAATAACAACTGAACAGACTTAGAAGGATTTAAATTGAGTTAATTTGGATTTGAAATTTGTTATTTAAATTTTTTTTGAATTCCAATTTTTCAGATTCTATTTTAAATCAGCTTAGAAGAATGAAATGTTGGAGGTTCGGTCAAATTTTGTCATATCTGGATTTCAACATGTCCACCTCATATTCTTTCTTTTTTCAAGCTTTTTGTTTTAAAGTAAAACAAACTTTCCAAAAATAACGTTAACCTTAATTAGCTACACTAATCAAATTAATCCATTTCTTATTCAATAAAGGAAGGCCAAAAAAAAAAAGGCTAATGCCCTACCAGATTTGCTACAAGATTGTTGTTGGTTTGGCATGCTTCATGTAATGACAATTGTTCATATTGAATAAAAAAATGGCCATTGTATTAAAAAACTTTTTTTTTGGGTATTAAACCAAATATTAAAATGTATGAGCAATTTGTTTTCTAATGTAAGTTTTCTATTAAAAAACCACAATTTAAGCCACACAAGTTTGATTTAATTTAGTTAAATGTTGATTTAGTCAAAGAAGGGATAAGCTTTTTACATTAAAAAAATGAAATTTGATGAAAGATTTTTTAATTCATAGCCTTAAACTTTTGTAGTTGCCCTAATTTAATCAAATTAATTGATGTGGTGGGTTGCTCTTCTAATTAGTTGTTTAGGCTTTAAAGTAAGAGTAGTCTGTAAGTGAAAACGATTTGTTATCTCAAACCATTTGAACCATTTAGGTTAATGAGAAATTGTCATATCAAAAATTTCACGAATAAAATTAATAAGGAGAGTTGTTATATTTCGATATAACTAAAAAAAAAAGTGAAATATATGATAATATTTTAATTTCGTTTATGAAATTAAAAAAAATTATCAATTTATGAAAAAGGAACTATCAAGTTAATTAATAAACAAAAATGAATGATTTGAGTATTTGGAAGTAACAATTAAACTTAATAATTCGTATCATCGTGTCATGTTTCGTGTCGAATACAATTTCAAGCACTAAACAAATAATATTAACACAAACACGACATGAATATTAAATAACATGAATAACTAATATACAAATATGATATGATTATTATACGTGTTACATGCGACTTGATTAATATATTTAAAATTAATTATATTCAAATAACATAATACAATTAACACAATTATATATGAATAACACGATTAGATATAGTTAATTTATTTATTTAAACAAAAAAATATCTTTTAAATTAGTATTTAAATAAAAATTTATTTAAAAATTGAATATTTATAATCTATTTAAACATAAAAATAATACAATAAATACGATTATTAATTTATTTTTAAATAAATTAAAATTTTTTTAATGTTATAAATAGTACCATATCTTAAGCATGTCATTACTATTTGATATAAAGACGATACGAATAATATCGTATTTTAATTATATCATACGATTAAAATATAAAATATAATTATACTAAATTTATATATATTTATCATATTTAAAATTATTAAAATGGAAACTAGAAATTTATATATAATCGATATTATTTTTTAAGATCAATACAACATATACGTAATCATTCACTAATTATATTAAAAGTGTGATTTATATATAGATTTGAATAAAAATGATTTTCCTCTTGGACCAACGTAGAGATAAAACAAAAGAACTCAAATTTATAAGTGTACTTGAAATCCTTGATGAAAATTTGGATTAAAAGCATAACGAAGGTAGGCCATAAGGGACCCAAAAACGAAAATGAAAATGTTGGGTGAGATGTAAAGATGAAAGGATGAGAATCAATAGTCGGTTATGGATTTTTATATAATGATAAAAAATTAAAAATCCATGTCCATGATCGACCTTATCTTAATAATTTTTGGGCTTTGGGTGATTTGGACAGGAGGAGAAGCACCATGGCAACCCCCACTAGCCTTTGTTTTTCCATAGGCAAACTCTTTTAGATGTGTCGATTTGATAAGATTCGATTGGTTTTTAAAATTATTTTAAATTTAATAAATTTAAAAATATTTAAAATATATTAAAATAATAATTTTTAAAATTAAAATTTAAAATTAATTCAATAAAAATATTTTTATTTAATAATAATGTTGTCCAAAATCCAACTATCATTAATTTTACTCAAGAAAAAGACATTTCTTATATTTACATTTTCCTATTTTGGGGAGGCCATACCTGATTTAGCATTTAGATAGGTGCCATTATCTAAAATTTAATGAATGCAACAGCCTATGAGTTGTGCCAACTAACTACCAAACATGCATTGCATTTGCACCTTTTGAATTTGTCTTCATTGGTTATTTGCTATTTGGTGAGTAGATATACTTCAATAGAGTGTCATTTCCAACTTTGAAACAAAGTGTAATTTTTTAAGATTTTTCTAACTAATGTCTTAACAATATATATTTTTTAAGATTAGTTAAGTTATTGGTAATGCATATTTTTTTATAAATCGTATAGTAGTTAACAATTAATTTAATAAATTTCAATATATTTTTAGTTGAAACTTCAATTTCAAATTCATATGATTTTTAAATCGATGATAAACTCATCCGACATTTAAAATTAATTTATCACTTGGAGCATATAAGGTTAGTCACGTAAACTACTATTTAATAACCCTGCACACAAGTTGTTCGAGGAAAAGTTAAAGAGAAAAAGAGAGATTTAAGAAGAGTAGGCCAAAAAAAAAAAAAGTTTCTTTGATATGTATAGTAATTAATGAGAACAATATATATGTACATATAAAGGAGGTGAAAGCCACTTGTATGAGACTACCATGGATGTTATTCTTTTAAATGTTCATATGAATGTGACAATATTGAGAATCATAAAATTATAAGCTATCAGTTTGATATTTGCATGAATCATAACAGCAATGTCTCACATGGAGCTGTTATGTATCTTTAGTTTGCTTTAATTAGACATATTAATGTCAAAAAGTAAGTCATTTTTATTTTTGTAATACAAGCAAAATATTTTTTTTTTTGTCTGAAAACAATTTTTTTTTATAATATTTAACGACATACTCTCTTCACATATATTTGATTAGCGGTATTCATAATTCAATTTTAATCAAATTAATCAATCGAATTAATTTAATTCGATTAATTGATCGTTATCAAATTAATTTTTGTCGGTTAATGAAAGTAATTTTAAAAAATTTTAATTTTCAGTTAGATCGATCGAATTAATTAAAATATAAAAAATCAAAATAAAAAATAAAAAATATATAAAATTAATCTTTTTATTTCATAAATTATTAGAGTTTTTAATATAATATTATGGTATTGATATTTTATTGAATAGTTTTATTTAATTTATTTAAAATATAAAAAATTTAAAATTTAAAATATAATTTAATTTAAATATATTTATTATTCGATTAACTCAAAAAGTTAATCAATTTATTTAAATTCAATCAATTAATTTTTAAAATTAATAAGTTTAGTTTAATTAACAAAAAAATAATAATAAAATTTAATTAATTCAATTTTAAATAATTTAATTCGAAATTAATTAAACCAATCAGTAAACACTCTTATATTTTATTCACTCAAAATTTTACATTCTGTTTTGTAAAAAATAAATCCGAATCGATAAAAAAAATAAAATTATTTTTTTATGAATAAAAATATATTTATATATATATATAATCCAAACAGTTAATGCAACATAACACAAACTAGTTAAACTAACATATAAGTTTCACTTTAAAAATCTCTCAAATCAACAAAACATAACTTACTATCCAAAAAGTGCTTTTCCCATAATCTTTTCCCAATCTCCAGAACAGACAATAAGCCCAGCTCACCTGTGACCGCGTCGGTGACCGACCAACTGAAAAGAAAATTTTTACTTTACCCAATATCAAAATCCTCAAATTAAAATTAAAATCCAAATAAAAACAACCTTTTTTTTAATAATTATTATTTAAAAAAAAAAAAAGAAATTGACGAAAACATGGATCAGATGACAATACGGACAGTGGCTGGTTGATTCTACATAGGACATTGTGCGTAAAAACGTGGGTTGTCAGTTGTCCACGTCATCAACCCAAATTTAAAGCAAATTGATTCTCATAAAACGACATCGTTTTCGTCCATGATCTTTTCCATAATGCTGATGGTTGTCAGTTGCAAACCTCACCAAACAAAAAAAGAAAAAATTCTTACATGCTAAACCAAGAGAAAAAAACAAAACGTTGAAATTAGCACAAAGAAATGAACTTTCCGGAACTTCTGTCTCTAATTTCTTTGATTTTTTAACCAATTTATATATAAATGAATAAAAATTTCACAATTATTGATGTTATTTCATTAGATTCCCTTTCCTCCTATTAAACTTTTTCAAATCACAAGGCTCTTGCTTAGAGCCGTTGACACTTCATTCCAAAACCAAAAACAGAGAAAAGAACTTTCATTTTTTTTATTTCAATTTTTCATAAAAAAAAAAACTCGAATTTAATATATAATATTAATTTATTTTGTGGTGATAATTTTGTCGACTTTTCTCTTCTTCTTATATGTCATTTTTTGAAAAATTCTCATACTCTTTTAAACACAACCACAAGCTTCTTTTTAAACACTGCTAAATTTTGATTATTCTCTCTTTTCCTCTGTTCTTCCCTTCCCTGTGTCTTCTTTGATCTTCAACTACCGTTTTCTCAGAACTTTCTTTCTCTTTCAATATTTCGTTTAAAACCCATCTTTTATATTAAAAAAACTTTTAATCTTTTCCCTTTGATACCCCAAATAAAACCAATTCTGCTTTTGTTCTGTTTCTTCTTTGTTGATCAATTTTTTGTTTCCCTGGCGGATTCCTGTGGTGAAATATACAAACGAAAAAAAAAAGATATAAAGTTTCTGCTTTTTTTTTCTTTTCTCTTAGCTTTCAGTTTCATTTATTGGATTTTTTTTTGTTTCTCTCTCTTCCATGATCTCAAAAATTGCTTGCTTTTCGGTTGATCCTGCAAATAACCGCCTTTCGTTTTCTTTTTAACAAAGTTACATCAAAAAATGAACAACAGTTAAAAACCCATAACAAAAACCCTTGCTTTTATTTCTTTGGCTATAACTCCCTCCCTTTTTCCCAGCAACCTTCTCAAGCCAGAAGCTTAATCTCCCTTTTTTTTCCTTTCAAAGGTTTCAAAATTTTCATTAAAAAGCTAAACAAAATCATGGGAAACTCTTGGTTTGTAGGAATATTATTACCAATATTCCTTTGTGTTTATTTTTTTGGTGGTTTTGTTAATGGTCTTGGTGTGAACTGGGGTACTATGGCAACTCATAAACTGCTTCCCGCAACAGTGATTCAGATGTTAAAAGACAATGGGATAAAGAAGGTGAAGCTTTTTGATGCTGATTCAGATACTATGAGTGCTCTTGCAGGAAGTGATATTGAAGTCATGGTTGCTATTCCTAATGATCAGCTTCTTGCTATGAATAGCTATGATCGTGCTAAAGAATGGGTTAGGAGGAATGTCACAAGATACAACTTCAATGGAGGTGTTAACATCAAGTAGGTTCAATTTTTATTTTTTTTATAATTCTTTTTAAAATTTTCTGATGTTGGGTTTTTGAGGTTTTGATTGTTGGGGCTTTTTAAGATTTGTTTCAGCTGCTCATTAAATATTCTTGTACTTTTTATTGAGGATTTTGATAAATTTAGTGGTTAGTTTGGGAATTGTTAATTTTTGTTCCAAATCTAGTTTTGGCATTGAATTTTTAAGTATTTACTGTTAGTGTAATTTGTCTTTGATTTTTTATTGCAATAGAATAAGTTGTCAATATATTATGCTTGAATCTGATAATTAGGGCTATAGATTCTGATGTTCAAGTTATTTCCTTTTCTGTATAGAATTACAACTTTGTGTGTATCCTTGATTGATTTTTTTAGTTTCCAGAAGCCATCCAGTTATAGGAGCTGCTCATTCTGGTGATTCATGGAGGTTAATAAGAGAAGTACTTTTATCTAAACTTTTCAATGAGTTCCCTTCTTTTTTTCTTGAAACTCAGCTTCTTTTGCTTGTAACCCACATTAGGAAAATTAGTAAGTTTTAGTTTTTGTTAGCAATTAGGGATTGTTTGTCAGTTTACCTAATTCTTGAATCTTGAATTATTAATGAGTTCGAATGACTTGTCTTCCTTTAGCTTTGATGAGCTTATTCTAGTACTTCTATTTTCTTCTTTTAAATCGAATTTTAGTTAAGGTTTCATTTTCTGTTATTTGAGAATGAGCAAATGGCACATGATCTAAACTTCTTGGAAAAGTTTGCTAGGAATCTTGCCCCAAGATTTCAACTTGTTATAGGTAACACTTGTTTTCCCTTTATACTGATACTAGGCTCAGATGGCATTAGATTCCTTCAATATGTGCTTTTTTTGGGGCTGCTTTATTCTTAGCATCAACAGAGATATTGGAAGGACCTTTTCTAATGTGCACTTTTTCTGAAGAATATTATAAAATTCATCAAAAAATTGTGAAAGATTCCATGACTGCATGGTTAAGCTTTCAGCATTGGCCATGTGAGCTTTATGAGCTTTTCATATTAATTTTGTGGAATGCCATGGTTAAAGTTCCTGGAACTGATAGGTCTGTCAGCATTTATTTTCCTTGTGATAATTAGGAGAAACCTCGTTAGGCCTGATCTGTAATTTCTTATAATGCAATTTTCACCGAAAGGGAATTCTTGAAGGTTTCCTAGAAGTTTTAGGAATAGTTTAACAGACTGTTATTCTTATTTTATCAATGTGATTAACATTTGGAATGGAACAAGATTCTAAGCCTGTCTTCACAAGAAGCCGATTGAAAGATGCTAATGATGTTGCTTTCTGTTAATGCTGAAGTAAGGAATATGTTTGAGTGATGTTGCAATGCAATGCTTTTTCTTTTTTTTTTAATTTTATTAATAAACTTGCATCCATTATCCAATCTATACATTTCTTATGTACCTAGATAAATTCTAAGTGTATTAGATGGGTGGATTTGTTAAGAAAGCTATCCCATAACTAATCTGTGGAACCTTTTACCATCTTTGCACAGATATGTAGCTGTTGGGAATGAGCCATTCCTTACAACATACAATGGCTCATTCATAAACATAACATTCCCTGCACTTCAAAATATTCAAAATGCACTTAATGATGCTGGGATTGGAGACTCCATAAAGGCTACTGTGCCCTTAAATGCTGATGTTTACAATTCACCAGAGAGCAACCCTGTGCCATCTGCTGGCCAGTTCAGGACTGATATTAGTGGACTTATGACCCAAATTGTTGATTTTCTAAGCCAGAACAGTGCACCTTTCACCGTGAACATCTACCCTTTCCTCAGTCTCTATGGAAATGACAACTTCCCCTTTAACTATGCTTTCTTTGATGGAGGAAACCCTGTTGTTGATAATGGGATTCAGTACACTAATGTTTTCGATGCCAACTTTGACACATTGGTTTCAGCTCTGAAAGTAGCAGGGCATGGGGACATGACCGTTATTGTTGGGGAGGTGGGTTGGCCCACAGATGGAGACAAGAATGCTAATGTGGCTAATGCTCAAAGATTTTATAATGGGCTCATGCCTAGACTTGCAGCCAACAGAGGCACGCCCCTGCGGCCAGGATATATAGAAGTTTACTTGTTTGGCCTTATAGATGAGGATGCCAAGAGTATTGCTCCAGGAAATTTTGAGCGTCATTGGGGAATCTATAGGTATGATGGGCAGCCTAAATTCCCACTAGATCTTTCCGGCCAGAATCAAAATACGTTTCTTATCGCTGCTCAGAATGTTGAATATCTTCCTCAGAAATGGTGCATGTTTAATCCAAATGCTAAGGACCTCAGCAAACTTGCTGACAACATCAACTATGCTTGCACCTTCTCAGATTGCACAGCACTTGGATACGGTTCTTCTTGTAACAACCTCGATGCCAATGGAAATGCTTCGTACGCGTTTAACATGTACTACCAGGTGCAAAATCAGAATGACATGGCCTGTAATTTTCAAGGTCTGGCCACGGTTACTACACAGAACGTTTCACAAGGGACTTGCAATTTTATCATTCAGATTGCTTCTCCTTCTTCTTCTCTAGGCCCCTCATTGGTAGGAATAGCATTTTTTACAGCATTGACATCTCTATTACTATAAATTTGATTCTGTAGATAACCCGGCTGTACTATTTTTGCTGTTCATTTTTCCTAGCTTCTTTTGCATGTTACAGATTCTTGGGTTATTTATTTTATCGACTGATTTAACAAAAATCCTTTCGAGTTTATTGGTTTCTGACTCTCTAACTAGAACACTAACTAGATCAATTTTATCGATGGAAAGGTATTCATGAAAAATTTTTGAAGGTGTCGAGAGATCTTCAAGCATCGATCCACCACCGGATTTATATGACAAAGTTCTAGTTTCTTATGATTGAGCGTATATATTACTATGCTTGTGGTAAATTATACCATTCTAGTCCTCATGAAACCAAGAAAATTTTATGAATCTGTTGGATTCATCCAGTTTTCTTGCAGACAGGTTGGTGAATCAAAATTTTGACTAGAGTCTTTCTTTCATGGTAGCAGCCAGCCAAGAACAAAGGTTTACATACACTACAACTACATGAAAAATCCCATTACTAGTCCAATTCCAAATTGGGCTCTAGTTGGGTTCTAAGTTCATTATACCATGCAAAACCATTTCCTTTCATAGACAACAATTTGATGGCTATGAATAGTCCCACCCAACTTCTATCAAATTTATTTATTAACTATTATTAGTGGCTGTTTGAAACCTTCCACCCATTAATCATTATGATGGCATGAATCATATAACTTTTGACCTCTTTTTCTTCTTTGGTGTAAAAAAGTTTTAGAGGGGGAGAGATTACTCCATCTTTAAAATCAGGATAAATTATTAACTCATAAAAAAATTTATGAAAATTTTTTGGATTTACATATCGTTTATCAATAATAGATTGTGAGAATTCAAACCATAATGCTTTATATCTAAACCCTAAATTTTAACCGTCAATCCTGGTAAGCAGACCTTTTTGACCCCTTTTTATTGCCAAGAGAAAAGTATACTTACTGATTTTACACCAAAACCCATGATCTTTGTCTAGAGTGCTTTGGATGGGACCCCAAGGCCAATATTGCATTTCAACTAGGGTGGACAAAAACATTATGACAATAAAGCCCAATGGGAACCTCTCTCAATCATGCACCCTCAAACCCCTACCAACACAACAAAGCCACTTGTTGTGCTGCTTTCAATTGGATGTGAATAATAATCTTTTGGACAGCCATAACTTTCTTAGTTATATTACTTTGCCTATGCCTTTGCATTTACATTTGCGTATTCCTTCCCTTTAAATCTTTCAAACCCAACCAATCCTCAACTATGCTCTTTTCATAGACAACTCATGGGAATCAATATCATATAGCTATGATCTTTGACTATACTTTTTATTTCAAATTTAAATTTCATTTAGTGGGTGGTTAAAAAGTTTTTATTACTTGGTATCGAACCAAAGCTAACAATCATTAGGTCCAGGATATAATTTTAAAAAGTTGATTAACAATACAAATCCCTAATTAACTTTATTAGTTTTTTTTTTTTTTTTAACAGAAGTAAACAAAGAAATGATTACGGATTCTGAAATTAAATTTCGAATGCATTGAAATTTACTTTAAGTGATTATATAAAATAATTGTGTTAAATCTTGGATTTTAATTTCTTGTAATAGTAATCTTTTCTCATGAAATAAAGAAATTAAAGATGGATGTTGATTTGTTTCTTAGGTTTCATCATTGAACTTTCCAAAACCACTAAAAATAAAATAAAATAAAATAAAATAGAGAGGCCAATAATTGAATAATAAAGGCATGCATAATTTAGGTACATGAACCTTTACTCCATCAACTAGGTCTCAAGTTTTTTTTTTTTTTTTTTGGAGATTTTAGATATTCATATCAAATTTATTGAATTCATTGGTTTTGTGATGAAAAATTCTTTCTTTTGGTTGATATTGACAATTAACCTTCCCCCAGCCCCAGTCATATTCATCACGCATCCATGCATTCATAGGTATGTCGGCAATCATAATATTTTGTGTTAAAAGTGATGAAACAAAATTTTTTTGGTAAAATAGTTTATATAACATGCAAATATAGACTTAATTTTTTTTACAAAAAAAAAATCATAATTTGAAAATAAAAAATAATTACAAATATTAAGATTTAAATTTTAAATTTATTAAATATTATCTCTTAAAAATAATTAAAAAATTAATTAAATTAAACTTTAAGGTTTATGTTTAAATAAATTTAATACTATGAATATTCATTAAGATTAAGAACATCAACATTTATCGAGTTAATTTTAAAAAAATAATAGTAATTTTTATATTAAAAAAAAACCCCTTGTATAAACATGTAAAAATTTGTATCTAGAATTATATATACATACGTATGTATGCGAATAATAATAATATATATATGATATAAAAATTTACATTCAACTTATAAAATATTATTTATTTTAATTTAAAATTTTTATAATTTTATCTTAAAAATGGTAATTCACAACGAATGTTCATGACAACGTGAATTTAACGTTACAAATGAAATTGAAGGGCAAGGGGCCCATGACAAAGGTGTTGAGCGGTATAAAACATAACAGCCACCAACTATAATCAATTGACTTGTCGGTTCCTTCCTCTATAGTTTCTTTTGGTTTTATAATTTCAAGTGACAAAAAAAAAAAGTTTTAATTAAGGATATTATTAAGGAAATGCAAAATTAAAACAAACATTACTAAAATAGGAAAAAAAAAGAAAGAAAAAGATAAGATTTGCCTTTAAATATCTGTAACCCAATGTTTCCTATATTCTATATGCCATTTCATCATCACCTAACGTAATGTTTTATTCTTGCAAGATAAGGGAACAATAGTCTTTTAGCTTGTTTAAAAAAAAAAAAAACTATAAATGCAAAATTAGGATCAAATCTTTGCCTAATTTGTTATATAAAAACAAACGTTTTTGAAAATTTATAATTTCATTATAATATTAAGTGTTTCTTGGAAAATTTTGTCCTAAAACAAAAAAAAATGGAAATGTTTGATTTTTATTTAGATAAATAATAAGTTTCATGATTTAATAAGTTGGGCAAGAATTTGATAGGAATTTGAGCATTAAATTTTTTTAAAAAATGAGAATACTCTTCACAAGGTTTTTTTTATGTTTTTTATTTATTTAAAAGAGTATAATTTATTTAGAGTTGAATGGTAAAAAAACACCGAAAAAAATTTAATAATCATTCAAGTTTTTATAATTTTATTACAATCAATTAAATTTTTAAATATTTATTTTTATCAATTGAGTTCTTATTAGACAAAAATTAATTAAAACAATAATTTTCATTTAATCAATAACTAAATTGAAATGAAAATAAATATTTAAGAATTTAATCAGAGAAAAATAAATATTCGAAAAATCAATTAATTTGAAATAAAAAATTTAAAATTTAATTAATTTCAATAAAATATTAATAATTTAAATGATTTTTGAATTTTACAGATTCTTTGACAAAAAGGTAAGACAACATTTTATAATTGAAAATTTAAAAATTAAACATGACTTTCGACTCTTACTATGGTCGGTAGCAAAGGCAAGAAATTAATGACATTGAAATACGTAAACTATATGATTATTATTAAGCTTTGGAAATGCAATCCCATTGAATTTTCAAGTATACTAATAATTTTTTTAAGACAATATTTTAATTTGGCAGTTAGTCAAAATTAGAATAAATTATTTTCCCTCTTAAAAAATTTTGAATTTGCCTATAAAATAATAGTTTCAATAGTGATTGACAATCAACAATCATGCATAATGGAGACAAAATAATTTTGGATGAAAATTAAAAAAAAAAAAAACAAAGAAAGACAAATCTTGATTTTTCTTAAATTCTGATTATGGTTAAGGGACATTTAGGACTAAATTGAACACAAGACGAAAATTTTCCTTTCCCAAAAATGGGAGGGAAATTTTAGAAGGCATATCATATATTTGCACAAAGAGAAAGGAATACAGTAGGAAAAAAAAAAAAAAAGACCAGGAATCTCTGTTCAAAAGGGAACTGTTTCCCATTTTAAAGAGAATCCATTGGTAAAAAAATGGTATAAAAGAAAAAGTCAGGTGCTTGCTGGAAGCCATCATCTTATTCTCTGCTACTGCCAATGTCTTACAAACTCAAAAAGTAGGCAAGAAATGATTTTTTTTCTTTTTATTTATGTCTAAAGTTAACGAAAATCCAACAATCCCATTTTGATACTAAACGCATTTGATCATGTTATTTTCATGTCCTAACCAACATAACATAGTTTCCATGTCCTAAGGGGCAGACCAAACAAGTTAGAAAACAGGACAAACATTTCATATGTGAATTTGCATGCTTTGGTGTGAAAATAATTGCACCCCCTCCTTTTTTTTTTTGTTTCAAATTCACTAATTTGCAAAGTAAAAATCGTTACTTTTACCTGTTGTTTAGTTTTTACTGGTGCTACTTTTCCTAGGATTCTAGTTTGATTTAATGTAACTCCAAAGAAACCAAATGGGACAAATGGAGCAGTCAGCATGGAGATAGGATATGGCTGATGGCTCCAAGGCTTCAATTCTTTATTTTGGTAAAGAAATATTTTAAAACTTGAAAAAAATATGGCAAAAATTGTATAAAAACAGTAGTATTAATCATAAAATTGCAGAGGTACTACAGTACTAGTGAAGAATTTCTTCAAATTTATCCTATCTAAACTTCGATTTACATTGGGGAATGGGAGTTTCAGAAAAAGGGGAAAACAGAAGCCATCACTGCTCACTAGGAATTGAAGAAAACAAAGACATCCTCATCTCCATCACTTTCTTGTGAGAATTGGAGTGCAAATAGCTCACAAAAGTAGGGCTTTTTGCTGGCCTATACTCTGGCAGCAACCTCCCTGACTTGTACCTCACCCCACATGCATTGCATAGAGTTTTTGGACCCAATGGTCCCGCTCTCCACTGAGGGGTCCTTTGTGCTAAGCAATGGGTGCACCTCCTTGGCTGCTGCAGCAGCTGCTGCTGTCCACTATTGCTCTCTAGCACCACCACTTTCTCTACCTCCATTCTCTCTTTCTTTGGTTCTTCCACCTCACTATTCCCCACCAAGTTACTGCTACTATTGCTGCTGTCATCCTCCTTTTTGGGCACAATCAGTTCACTGTCAGCTAACCAATATGTTTGTTGAAGCAAAGGGGGGTCAGAGCTAGCTAATTGGAGGTTTTGGTTAGGTGAGTTTAGGTGGTATGACCAGCTGGAAAATGGGTTAATTTTGGTTTTGGATAATGTTGTGGCTGCCCTCTTTCTTTTGCTTCTAGCCTTGCCTGGAACCACAAATTTTTGCAAGGAAGGTGGGGTTTGTTGGGCCTTCTGCTTCATGGATTTTGCAGGCTTTGTTGCAGTTGTACTTTTGTTTTGAACATTTGTAGCTGCTGCTGCAACTGGGATGCAGTTTCCTGTGCTGGATAAACAATCTTCTACAAATATAGACAACCATTCCAAGCTTACATCCACTTCCTGCCATTTGTTTAGCCACAAAAGCAAACGAAGTTCAAGACTTTACATAAAAAAGATCAAAACTTCAACAAAATCTTCTCTTCTCTTCTGTTTCCATTTAGTTATACAAATACTGTAAACAAGCAAGAAAAAGAGAGAACCCAGAACCGGGAAGCCATGCAAAAAGAGAAAACTGACCGTATTATGATCAGGGAAAAGGTCATCAAGTGAGCCAGTGGCAGCAGCTAAGGTAGCACCAAGTTTAGAGCAAGGGGAAGAAAGGACTTGCTCTTGTTGAAACTCACCGGAGACTGACACATTCCGGCGAAAATCCATAGAGAAGAGACAGATTTGTCCTTTGTTGATAACCCTTCAAGAAAGAAACTGAAATATAGAAACTTGAAATGAAACACTTAAAGAGAAAGAAAAAGATAAGAAAAAAAATGTTGCTATAAGAATATGGGGGGTTAGTGCAGCTGTCTTCAATGTGCTCCCTTTATGGCCTAGTTTTCTGTCGGCAGATAAAGCTAAAGAAAACAATCAAAGCTTATTCAATCACAAGGAAAAAAAAAACAGAAAAAAAAAAAGAGAATTGCCCTTATCCTTCTCTTTCTTACTACTCAAATATATATATATATATATATATAACAATAAGACTTTTTTTTTCTTGGGTTCAGTAAATTAAAATTTATTCCTAAGGTGACAAATATTGAACTTTTTTCTCTTTTGAATTATTGTATTGGTTTTGAATTTGGGTTGATGAGGGTAAGGAGGGAGGGGAGAAAAACCTTGAGTGCGGCTGTGGAGAAAGTTTTGATCAGTGGGGCCAGAACTCCGAGGCCTGCTTGGATACTGAAGCCTGCTCTGGTTAAAAAAAAAAAACAAAAGATAAGGAAAATAATGAGAGAGGGGGGCTGTTGGGCTAATGGGACCAGGAAGGGAAGTACTAATATTGACAGTGTGAACTTGCTACAGTATGAACTGTTAGATTCTTAAATGAAAGGTTAACTTCCTTTTCTTCCCTCAGCCAAAATAAAGGTTAAAAAATAAAAACTTTCTTGAACCAGGCTTTTTATCAGGTGATGTTGATCTTGCAGAGGGTTGAGGCCATGAGGGAGCCAATAGTATTATCCAAGTGACTTTGCTGACCATAATCATTTTGTTTCATCATGAATGTTCATTTATCAAATGATGTTCTCGGCCAATCTTTCCTAATATTAGGCCCTGGATATTTGAGGAGTGCAGCCTTATTCGGATGATTCTCAGTGATCAATTCTATCTTATGTAACACCAATAATATGATCACCTATATTGTCCCGACCCTTTATTTTTCTTAAATGCCATGTTCGATACATATGTGGTATAGAAATTTGACTTTTAAATATATGAAATTTTTTTTTTTAAATTTCATGTACCTATGCGGACTCACACTGGAATGTCATACTCGAGTTAAAGTAACATGGATGATCACAACCTATTGTTGGCCATGGAATTGCAAATAAATGAACCTATCCATCTTATTTAACTATTTTACATATCTTTTCTCCCATTCCAATCAAAGCTTTGAAACCTTGTAATCTTTTTTGAAGGCAAATTTTGATTTGGGTTTTTCAAGAAGCTATTAGAACATTATCAAATATATTCAACCAGCTTCCAGTAAATATGTTGTTATAGTTTCCAAGAAAGTTACCTGAATTATTTCTGCAAGGCCCTGTCTTTAAATTTGGCTATTCCCTCCGAATGAATGTCCTCACATGCTAACAATAACCTGTCCTTGTAAATAAGATTTTCATGACTCTTGGGGTTAAAAACTCAATGGCATTGTAGAGAAGTGAACCCTTGGTCTGAGGTTAAGTCTATCATCAAGGAAGCAAGTTTCTGGAAATTAAACATGGGATCCACAAAATTTGCATGCTTTGGTGGGTAATATTTATTAGATTTATATGTTTATATATTTAACAGATGAATGAGTTGCAAAGGAATAGTTTCTGATATTGGTCTAATACTTATTGACAGAAGGCACTGCTATCTCCTTGATTCTTCTATAATCATCACCACTAGTACAATAACTCCATGGTATATACATGCATACATAAAATGTACGCACATGATGAATCAAGATTGTACATCCATGGACCCCACATACTACATCAGCCATTATCAGAATGCTTTAAGTATGTCCCCATGATATGGTGGATCATTTACACTGTCAATAAACAGCAATTCAATTCAACCAACACGCTGGCCACCTTTGATCACCAGCCATGTGAAAACACTAGAGAAATTTGAACATCCCACATAAAACCATCTCCCAATTTATCTTGCCTTATTTTGGTCATGTACAAGTGTCATGGGCCAAGACTCAATCTCTAGTTTCGAGCGACTTTAAAACCCGAATATACATTCATCCGGTGTTAGGATTAGGACATGCACTCATCCAATGTCTTCGAGATTCATAATTCTTTTTTAAGATCGTGACATCTTTTCTCACTCCAACAAGGGTCCACCGTCCTCGGTGCATCGCTAGTACCCCAGAGTTGATTCTGATATCATTTGTTATCGGCTGAGATTCAACCTCTAAGTCTGTGCAGCTCTAGGACTCGAACATATATTTATCTGACGTCTTAGATTAACTTACCTATCACGATTTTCACCTTTGTGAGGCATTGTTACTCTGACTTCTCTAACATCACGATTGTATCTTACAAATATCACCTCATAAAATGATAGTGGTGTGAACCTTATATCTTAAAATTAATTCTAGTATTCAATCGATATAGAATTCATAACTCATCTCTAAGACCGTGACACAAGTACTCCATTGAACTTTCCTTTTGTTCATAGTCGAATAACTATCGAATCTTAATTACAGTTTTGTGAACAAAAATGAAGGAGCCAAGGCTGATTAAGAAATGTTTTCAGTATAGAGAATAAGGATTGTGTTTAAATTTGGAATCAAATGACTGAATCTTTTAGTGCTCTCCATAATTTTGAGTGGACTGGTCATGGCTGCAGCTCCTCTGGCAAAGAGACAGAGTCTTCCCCAACTGCTACCCTCTACGCAGAAATAGGACAAATGCAAACAATTATTGTAGGAGAGTAAAGGGTGAGAAAGTTTTGAATGATAACAATGAGGTAAGGAGGGAAAAAATATGTGCCTAAAGGACATGATTCTGTCCAGCCATTTGCTCAAAAGTTCACATGCATGGCAACACCAGTCACCCCACAATTCCCATCTCCTTCAATGAAAATGAAAATCTAAACATATAAAAAGGAGCTGAATATATACTCCTAGGGTTGGATTCCACGTGAGTCTGCCTAATCTTGAATAATGACTGATTTTGGGATTCTACATCAGTTTTGAAGTTTACTTAAAATCTGTTGGCCAAAAGGAAATTTAGGGCCTGTTGTGTGTTTCAAATTTGTTCATTGAAGCAAGAGAAAAGTTGAGCTTTATGTCACATTAATCACTGAAAATCATGAGGGGAACTAGTTGAAAAAAAACATAAATTTAGTAACTGAATATATGGACAAATTTTGAACTAAACAAGGCGGAAAACTAAATCTTGATTATAGTTTATATCAGAAACAGTAAGATTAGACCATAAAATATGAATTGGAAATTTTTAATTTAAGTAGCATGAATCTAATAACATGATTGTATGAGTGATGAGATTAAAAAATTTTTATTTTTTCTCTCTTGTTACAAATAAATTTGAGAAGTTGGGTTTGAATTTTTTTAGTATGCAGTCTGAAAATAAATAAAAACATTACAGATATTGATATTTAAATATCAAAATTGCTACATGTTATTTTTTAAAAATGATTGTATAAATCAAATAATTTTAAAAACCTGAATTTATTGGTTTTGAACTTTGAATCATCCTTTTGGACTTATATATTAACCTGGATTATAATAACTATATAGCACTACAAAATATTTTTGATGAGGAAAGAATGAGATAGTTGAGCTTGAGCTGTATGCAAATAAGATCACAGAAACATGCCTTATCCAAGCATATTAATGCATGTTACCACGATGCTTAGAGTCAATGGATTCTGCCATCTATCTTTGACTTCAGAATTACAATTATCTTTCCTTTGTCTCTTTTCAGGGGAACCATAAAGGGAAATATGAACATTGCAGTGCATTCAAATTGTTTTGAGTTAGCTCTATGTAGCTCTTACCGATGACTAGTTCTACAACAAGATCAAGAAGCATATTCACACGAATAAAAACAAAAATTAAAGAGATTAGAGATTTTTATTGAAATGATCATTGATTATTTGATCATCGGTAACGTGATACACTTCTATCGATAACTAGTTCTAGGGGATCGAGTGTTTGGCCTTAAAACATTGCCAAAGGAAATCCTAAATGAATATAAAAACCTAAGTTAAGCATTTTCTAGACATGAATACATCCATTCCATGAATCAAAAGTCGAAATATGAGACAACTTTTGATGCAATTTAGAAGTGAGCAGTGAGCACTGAATGAATGTAAGAAATGTAAGAATGTACAACAGGCTGCATAGATGGATGTCTAAGGCTCTGATGAAGGGGAGAGATATTGACGCCATTCTTCAGGGGTCCCCTTTCTCTTCCTCAACATCCTTACTGCTGCGCTTGTTAGGGGTATGGCAAGTATGTCATAATCCTTTGGGGCCTAAGCAATCAAGAGGACAAGATCTTAGTTCTCAAAGACAAAATCGTTGTCATGTTAATGCTTATGAATAGTTAGGAAAGAAAAAACTATAAGAATTCCAGTTTTCTTGATCATCACGGTGTCATCCTTTTGTTATTCATACCAAGAAAAGAGACAAAGGCGATGCAACCTCTGGATTATGCCTTTTCTCCCTTTATCTCTCCTTTTATTTATTTGTGAGATGCTATCTATAGCTGAAACGCCATTTTCCCACAAATGATTTTAAGCAAATGAAGCTTTTAGAGTTTGACAAGAGTAGGTGAATACCTTGGGGACCTTAATCAGCTTCATGCTTGCTTCCTCCAGAGTTTTTTGACCTTTCTTAGAATTGCACTTGGCACAAGCAGCGACCTGCAGTAGGCGCACGAAAGAAAAAAACTATAAAATTTGTAAATTCATGGTGGTTACAACCATGATATCTTAAACTCTCTTCATATTGATAATGAACATTAGTCATCAAATTTGGCTGAATATTTAATGGAATAGCAAATAAAATGGAGGAAAGAAGGGATGACCAAACTACGATTCACATTCCATTAACAAACTGTTCATTATAGTCAGCCAAATTTGATGATAAATGTTCATTATGATGATGTTATGTATAAGGGCATAGACTATATTCATATTGATCACTTTATACCATCTCAAGTAAGCATATGACTCATCTTTCAATTTCAAACTCTTATCTTATAGAATAAGAGCCAATAGCTTCAAGAAAGATAATAGATCTTTTAAGACCACAATGTTTCTGCATTTTAACACTCCAGTCATCTTCCACAGATTCCACGTACAATGTTCTCCATATTTTTCTCAAGCCTTGTCCTACTTATGTGTTTAACAAATAGTTACTGGTATGAAAGAAGCAAACAACTTCAAACCATGAAGACATCTAATCAGCCACATGTAGGACAATTTTCATAGCATGAATATGTTTGACAGAAAAACTAAGCAATAGATATATTTCATGTTTTGCTGGAGAAAAAGAAGCCTTCTTATCTTACATTCTTCCTTTGTGCTTTTGCTTAGTCTTGATTTTCATTTAGATGACAGAAGAATACGCGACAGCAAGATACTTTTAACTCTTAAGCACCAATTATAAGCTCAAACAAGAATAAATGGAGGCAATCCACAAATAAAGAGACATCTATCCGTTTAATTGGTTATCGTACCAGATTTTCCCATTTCCATTCCCCCCCTCTCGCAGCTGGCAGAACATGGTCTATGGTCAAGTTCTCACGAGCAGAACAATACCTGTTGACAAAGGAAATTTTCAGTTGTAAGACGCTTAGAAGGCAACAAACAATTACTATTGAAGTGAATTGATAAGAGATCTTTGATACGACAAGGAACAAGAACTGAGAGTTAATTTAGAAATTATAATAACAACAATATATTACGTATGGGAAAATGAGAACTTCAAAGTAGGAGAATTACCGACTTTGACATAGAAAAGTGTGAAAATATTGTAGAACATGAAAAATCTTGACTGAGAAATTTTTTTTCTGAGGGCTTTGAGTTTGTATGAAAAATCTAGACCATGGAACAAAGAAAACGTTGTATGCAACATTTTCGTACTCGAGATTTACAGGGACAAATCATGTTACATAAAACAGGATTATATGTGTAAGAGTAACTGTAAACAACTTACTGACAAGTGAAATTGTCCCTAAATAGAACATTTTTGCGGCTGAGATTGGTTCTTAGTCTTCTTCTCCTAACAACTTGCAGCAGATGGGGAACCTGGGAGAGTAAAGAATAAGGTCAATTCAATCAGACTAAGATGAATATATGGATAAGGAACACTAAGAAGAAAAAGTAGAAAGTTTAAACAGATAAGTTGATTAGTATAGTAACTAGAAAGTAACAGGAAAATTGAAAGAAAGATGCCAGCAAATCACAGTAAATGATAAACGGTCCCCAATTTCATACCCTTAACACGGCTGGTATGTAGAAGGATCCACTTGTGGAGTTCACAGTTTGATCATAATACTCTAGGACATCAGCCTGGATAAATGCAAAGTAAAGGAACTTAAATGTTGAAAAGAACAATTCTATAAGCATGTTTCATTCATGAATGTGAGTGTAAGTTTTGCATCTGAGCAAACACATATATTAAAGAGACTAAGAAGTAGATGAAGAGGTAATGCTTTATAAGTGTTTAAACAAGAAACTAACCAGAAGGTAAAAATTACTTCATGTACTATGATGGAGAATCGATAGAAAATATTAAAGATTATTGTTTCTTTTGGTAGGGAAAGTCCAACACTAACCTACCACAATGCTTTTCAAGCATTTCATGCTATCATAAATGAAATGGAAAAATAAAAGTACTCTAAATAAGTATGGATATCAACTCTTTACTAGCTTGCTCATGTTGGATAACAATTTTGAAGAAAAAGTAAACAACCGCAAAAGCTGAAAACTAGAAAGCCTCACATGACTTCCACCCAAACATGTAAAATCAAAAGACGAGCTACACTAATCCAACCTTCTCCATGAACTCCAAACATATAGCACGCTTCCAGCAGACGACACTGACTGGCCTGGCAGGGGATGACAATGATCAGATCCGTATCCGAACAATAGTAAGAAAGCCAATATAAATTAGTATGGTAGCAAGAAAAGGAGAATCACTGAACACAAGGAAAAATACTGTCAAACAATTAGCCATATAATCACCAAGAGAGAATTAATTGAGTAACTTATAATCAATCATCAAACGCTTTTCAGATATTTCTCACAGTGATAAACTGATAGTAATTGATAATATGACAACTATAGTTATTAAAGAAAATTGGACTATGTAATGTAATAATAGAATGGTAGAATGCTAAATACATTAAGCAACAGAGAAGCATTTCTCCTTTTGACAGATACTAGTTTTCAACAGCTTCAGTATTGTAACCAATTTATTGAGCAATGGTCTTTTCTACAATCTAGCATTAGGTTACAGTTTAGTACACTCCCATTTTCAACCAAGTTACAGAAACAAAAGATAAGGAGAACAAATGCAAAAGCTAAAACATATCCATTAATTCCAAGAAGGCAAGAACCCATGTTTCTAAACAAATACCCAACTGAAATAACAGAATAAAGCATCAAAATCAAACAAGAAATGATGGGTCTTTAAGAAGTGTTTTTACCTGTAAGAGATATCCAAAACAAGACCTCTAAAACAAGCCAATTCATCAGTCTCAAGCTCACTGTCATAATCCTCTTCTTCGTAAATTCCTTCATCACTCACATTCATACTTCCCTTTGCATTAAATTTGCTACCTTTCTTCAAAGAATAAGAAAAGTGGTGTCTTCTAGCTGTAGAACCAAGAAACCTGAGCCTACCCTTATGAACTTGAAGTGATTTTAGCCCACCAGAACCACCAAAAACATTGCTAACAAGCTTGTAATGAAAAGGGTCTTTTGGTTCCACCCCGTCACCATGAAAGAGCGGCTTCAAACGTCCTTGTAGGGTGAATTGAGCCATTAACTATAACCCAAGATTTTGCTTTAGCTTTCAACGAAGTTTGTGTATGGTAGTTAATGTCGTTGTTCTGGGGGTGGTTTTCAGTTGTAGTATTGCAATTACAAAGAGAGAAAAGAGAGCAAGGAACCGTTTTTATTTCTTGGAAGAAATAAGAGAAAGGGATGGCTGAGTTTCACGCAAAGAACCGTTGCCACAAAATATTTTGGCTTGTGCTTCAGCTGCGCAAGGAATATCTTCTTCATAGTTAGCTAAATGACAAATTTACCCACTTTATCTCGTTTTCCTTCAATTTTCACAGGAGCAAGCAAGATCATAGTTTTAGACTTCTAAAAATTGTAAGATCATACCTTTCAATTTGTTATGGTCAATTTTTGTTTTGTTGATGATAGTGTGTCCTTCTGAAATGAAGTAAATGGAAATGAAAAATCTTTTACAAACAGAATCTCAAAAATTCAATGGCAAATCATTTGCAAAGAAACAAGTAATTACCTTTAAAATATTTGTACATTCAAAACGAGAGAGCCAAGAGAAACATGATTCAATTATGTTTACAAGTATCTTAGAGTAACAATTATACATGACAAAAAGGAATTAAAAAAAGAAAAAAGTTTAGCAAGTTTTCGGCATTTCCTAGCATCAAAGTTACAGATTTATAGTTTTTAGCATGCATGACAACATACACGAAGTTAATCTCAGAGATGACAAAAGAGTTGAGTAAAAACTACGTTTCGGGGTCAAAATTTTAGTGAAGTTACTATTATTTTATTTGAAAGTAAAATGTCTACAACAGGTAACCCTGAACATGTTTTTTTCAGTTTGCTCTTCCCTCCTAAGTTACTAATTACACAAATGATATACCATCCATCCAAGCACCGTACTTAGTTTGAGGAAAAAGAAGACCCCATGTGACAACCACAGCCAAAGAGCTGGGTGCCAATCCCCGTGTTCTTCGTATATTCAAACTTCAAATCCAACTCTAAACTTTAGTTTAAGGAAAAAGAAGACCCCATGTAACAACCACAGCCAAAGAGCCAGGTGCCAATCCCCGTTCTTCGTATATTCAAACTTCAAATCCAACTCCAAACACCATGGCGGAGGAAAACCTACTATCTACAACCGGGTCAAAGTTCCATTCAGAGGTATATCTGCCAGCAAATTAAAGATCAGTCAGATGCAAAGTCCAAAACATTCTTTTGAGATGAACCAAAAAATTAATACTAGTCAGTAACTTCAGAGGGAGGGAATAGGGTATAGCTTCCTACCATTGTTGGTTCTTCCTGAACTCTGTAAGGACAGGATATATATTCTCAAAGGCTGTGTATGTCTCATCTCTCACCTGAGACACTCAAACAAAGAGAATTAGTAATTCCATAGGAGATAGAAAGCAGAATGGATAAACAGAGGCCCAAGGTAATCACCTTAGCTCCAGTAATCACAATCTTCCCTGACACAAAAATAAGAAGGACAATCTTTGGTTGTTTCATACGATAGATCAGGCCTGGAAAGAGTTCTGGTTCATACTGCATTAAAACAACATGAAGATAAGTCACAATCCTTAAACCAAACAAACAAGTCTTGACATCAAATAAGTAAACCCTCTAGTTATCTAGAACTCATCCAAACAGAACTAAATCTAAGAATGTATACAATAATCCCAAACTTATTTTCATGTTTTCAAAGGCTGTTTACTAACCAAATAAAAAGCTCAGTATCAAATTTATTGCAAATAATGTTTCAAAACCTTTGGACTGAAAATTTTGACCATCCCACGAGCCTAACAGCCATAAGGGAGAGTAACCACTTACAGAAAAAATAAAATAAAATAAAATAATAAAAAAACTTTGTATGTGCATACACACATAGAGGAAGGCAGGGAAAGCCAGGCACTCATACCTGAAAAGGAGAATTCATATCCAATGTCTTGTATAAAAGGAAACAACTAAATAAACAATGAATGCCACTTACACTTGAAAAGGCACCATGGGAGTATGCAAGACCTTCCAGTCTGATAGGAAATTTGACATCACAGGACCCGACAATATTCTGAATTTTGAAGTCCTGCCGATCACAACAAAAAAAGTTAAACAAAAAAGCACGGTAAAACACTATTGAAGGAGGAGATATTAGTCCATACATGCAATTTTATAAGCATGGTTTGCATAAGAAAAAGAGAAAAGTAGTGGAAGTACCTTGAACTTAGCAGGAAACCCAAGCTTTTGGATAATTCTGGCATACTGAAAGCACAAAAATAATGTCAGTTATAGCCAGCTTCATCATTGCATCCACCTATCTAATGATAAGAATAAATATCACAGAGATAATTGACCTCTAACATAGTTCACAAACAGAATTAAAGGCACAAGCATCTCATAGAAAAGAATCTACCTTCCTTGCAGCCAGTTTAGATTGCTGTTCACTTTTAGCACCGGTGCAGACCTGAAGAAGCAAGGAAAACTGTTTTAGTAAATCAATAATTGAACAATGATAACATGCCTGGGCTCAAGCAATTGGTGCAAGCACTTTATTTAGTAAAGGATTTTAACGCTAAACACAACAACCAAATAAATCCATATGACTCTAATTTACAATTAAGAAAGGAATTACCATCTTTCCAGAGGCAAAAATCAAAGCTGTAGTTTTTGGCTCCCTGATTCTCATAATGACAGCAGCAAAACGCTGTAGGATTATTTTATAAATAAAAAGGTTAGCAGCCAAATAACAGCAGCAGAATCAGAAGCTGTGCAAACTAAAAAAAGAATAGTATCAAGAATTTAACCATCCCAGGCATACCTTGGGATTGTATTCTGCATTTCGAGCTTGCAGTGCAATTTGCTTAAGATCCAACTTGCAATCTAAGTTCACAGTTGATACAATGTTCCTAGAAACACAGTAAGACTAAAGCTAAGATTTCAATATTTCAACTGCAGTCAAACCCCAATCTATAAAGGATTAAGAGAACAGTTTTAATAAGAGAAATTAGAAGAAGCTTTCATCTTTTTCTTTGTTGAAAGTTTAATACAGATTCATACTAGTTAGTCACAGAATCACTACAACTTTACAATAATAGAAAAGACTTATGCTCTGATGCAAAACATCTGTCAAGTCTCAATTAAAGATATTTTGCCAAATGCAACAGTTTTCAACTTTACGTTAGGATCAGTAAGTGACTTGTAATCAGGCTTAAAACAAGTCAAGACCATAGCAAGTTTAAGCTAGCTGATTCCACTTAAGAACAAGACTCAAGAGAAATATGTGGTTAAACCAGCTGGCCTCAAGTGGTATATAATTTCACTCACAAGCTAGCATGCCAAGCTTATGATCAAATTCGGTGTAATTTAAGTATTGTTCATGTTATCAAAACTTACCCGCCACCCATATCTCAGACACTATTACTAAATCAAGCACATCAAAGGAAACATAAAAAAGTATTAATCAAAAGATATCTCGTTAAATCTTTCTCTTTCACGCTTTTAAGTGTCCTTAAAACTTTCAACAGGAATATAAGCAAGCCGCATACAAACAAAATCCACTTCTCTAAAATATTTTCAACATAAACAAATACCACAAGCTCACATAGCATATCCCCTAAATCCCCCCTTCATCTTCCCACAATCCAATCAACATCCATCAACCCTTAAAAAAATCCCTTACATAAAGAAATACCTAGCCACAAACTTCTCATAAACGTCACGCATGAATCAGAGACGTATGCTCCCCAAAGCCAACCCTTTTCTAAAGAATTAATTGACTACATGTCTCCAATAACCAAAACCTATCCACAAACTCTGGTCAGCCAATTAACCACCCGTTAACTTTAAAAAATACCCAAATCTCAAAGACCCATATCCCAAAAAACCTATATTTTTCAATGGTATAATTGAAAACCTATGTCCAACTAAAAGATCTTCCCGTTGACAAACTTTTTTTAACCAAATTTACGCATACACGACTTTATACACACAAAAACATACACATGTCAGAATCTAAGAGATGATAGGCAAAAAGGAGACTTACTGAAGAGTGGGAACAATGCCAGATGGGTGCTTGGAAAGATCCACTGGTTGGCTCCCTTCCAAGCCACCTTGTTCTGCCATTCACTTTTTTGTTCCTCACCCGAAAAACCCCACCAAAAAACCCCAATTTCCCCTAAAAAATTCCTGGTTTTTTCTCTAAATAACCAAAATCGGAAAACCCATATCGAATTTCGCCCAAATCTAATCGAATTCAACCAGCTCACCAAAAAATTAGGGATTTTAAAGGGGTAAAACAACTTCGCCTGAATCTAATCAAATTCAACCCGTTCACCAAAAAATTAGCGTTTCTAAAGGGGTAAAGCAACAAAATTTGGGGGAGATGAATGAAATATCCCACAGTTTTATCCAAATCTAATCATATTCAACACCCTTTAAAAGAAAAAAAAAAAAAAACAAAAATTAGGGGATTTAAGGGGTAAATCTACAAAATAAAAAAGGGGGGAAATTGAGGAAAATAAGAGGGAGACGTTTGAAAAGAAGAGTCTTTTATAGGTTTTTGTTTTGAGTTTATATAGGAGAGAAGAGAAAAGATTTGGATTTGGAGAGGGTCTCGTCTTGATGATGAGATTTGTGAGGGTTTGGTTTATAAGAGGAGAGAGGCGGTGATTCAATCGGGTTGGCCTTTAGTACCCTAGATCTCCCTATTTATAAAAGTTGACTCCATTAGCCGGTTAAGCCGTGAGTGTTACCGATTTTTGCCGGTATGTTAGTAGTTAGGAAGAGCTGACGTAAGCTATATTCTCATGTCTTGTCTTGTACTTACATACGAGGTTTGGAAGGGTAGATTTGAGAGTTCGGATGAGATTTGAGAAAAGATTGATGAGTGCTGTTATTCGTATCTCAATTTTTTTCAATACATTTCAAAATTTTTAATTTTTAATAAAATTATTTAAATAATTATTAATCACATTCTAAAAATTCATTTTTAAAAATTTTCACAAATAAATATTCAAAAACCTTCAAAATTTTTTGAAATTTTTGAATTTTTAAAAGTTTTTAAAAGCTTTGAACATTTATTTTTAAAATTTTTTAAATATTTTCATAAATTTATTTTTAAAAATTTTGAATCATATTTAAATATTTCAATATAAAATCTTACAAAATTAAATAAAAATAAAAATAAATAATTTATCTTTAATTTTATGTTTTTAAACTTTAAATTGGTGAAATTTTTTTTGAATTTAACTTGATTAATCTTAAAATATTTTAGATTTTTGGTTGAAAAGAGAGTAGAGATGAAGTATTTGAATTTTTTTTATAAATTTGTGTTTTGAATTTAAAATGTATTAAATAAAAAATTAAATATTAATAGTAATAGGATATGAAGAAAAAAAATTTAGACGAAAATAGCATCACTCAATACGGTTTTGCTCTCTGCTGATGGATTGTCTTTGTCTCCTACGTATTTGGATTCTTGGATTAGTGGGCTCAAATGAACGAGGTTGCCACATTTGAGTTTGTCAAAATGAGTTTTGTTTTTCTTCTAAAAATAAAGAAAATTATACGGATTTAAATTTTTAATTTATTAAAATTTTGATTTTAAAAATAATTATATGAATTAATTTATTTAAACCTTAAGTTTTGAATTTTTTTATTTCTATTTGAAGATAAGAATTCAATTATAAAATTAAAAAATTAGCAATTGAATCTAGAGTTGATATCGGATTGGGTTCGGGACGGATTTTGCTTGCCTTGAACCGAACTGACTTTATGTGTATCAAATTTGAACCCGAACCTACCCGAATTTTTTTTTATTTTTTCATACTCGAACCCAACTTTGATCCGATACTATATAAATCGTACCCGATCCGACCCAAAATTAATAAAATCTTATTTTTTAAAATATAAATATTATTTTTAAAATATAAATATTTAAAATATCATTATATAAATATATATAAATAAAAAATTAAATAATTAATTAAAAAATAATTTTTTATATAATATCGAGTCAAGTTCATGTTTGGGTTTGTCGGGTCGGATTTGCCTAAAACCCGAACCCAACCCAACCCAACCTCGATTGTTTCATAATCTTATCTGACCCGAGCCGAAACTCGAATTTTGAAAAAAAAAATTGACCCCGTAGAGTCGGGTTAGGTCGAAACCTGTCAGTGATGGGTTAAATGTCCGACCCTAATTGAATCCGATGACTAATTACATTTAACAATCCTACTAGAACTTAGCTTCCCTTAACCATCTTATTGAAAAAGTTTTTAGTACCAATCCACTATGGTGCAACATAAGATATTGAAAACCTAAACAGGCATAAGCAAGTTGTTAACCATAAATCAAAGCCCTAATAAAATACAATTTCATTAATATTCTACTTAAAAATGGAGCTGGGATAGAAATCAGCATATACATTCTCTTTCCCTCATTTGATTTTGAGGTTTAAAACTTCTACAAGGTTGATACTTCTCAAAAGAAATGTAAAAGATGAGCCATGAGATTTAAGTGGATATTAAGTTACCTTCTTGTCTAACATCAGAGCAGATAGCTTCTGGCATTTTTTTTTAATACTTTAAGGTGCAAGGATTTGAATGCCGCTCACTAGAATTAAGAGTCCAACGCTCCGAGAACAAGTCACACATTGTTGGCTGGCTTATGGTATTCTAAAGAGACAGCGAAAGGTGAGAAAAACTGATCTGCAGGATAATCTAGTTGTTGCACCTTGAACTTTTTCTAACTTCAACCCGTTAGCGGAAACAGGCTCATCAAATGTGCTCTTATGTTTTCACCTTGCAAAACAAAATAAAGATAATGAAAATGAAGTAAATACAATAATTACCAGTTATCTCTGCACAAGAAAATACCACTATTACATGATGATTATTAGACAGCTCGGATCTTGGAGGAAGCATTCTATAAGATACAGTAAAACGGAGCAAGAACTATGAAAGTAGAAGACAGCACTTGACGACAAGAAGTTTTCAAAGTACATGACAAAAAAGCCCTGTTGTACAGGCTTATGGAGATAATCAATGAAGGCATAATTCTTACCACAATGAATCATCCATGAAATGAAGCGCAAAATCATCCTCTGGCGTTAAATCAAGGTGCATTTTCAAAGCCTCCTTAGTCCACTCTCTTTCAATTTTTATTTACCAGTAATCTTTGCACGAACAAGAGCCACCTTCAAAATGATGAAACCGGTATGCATCTCGTACAATAATCGGCCTTTTAGATATCTTGGAAACAAATTTGATCCAATTGTGGCAATCATTACACACACGAAGATTCTTAATCACGCGAAGAGGAATTGCACTGGGCAAACTAAGGAGCCCAAAAGCAATAGCCAGCTTCTCACTGTGAATATAAACAGCTGGGTCCTTCTGTTCTTGTTCCACATCACTGAAAAGGCTATAACGGTCTTGCACATAACCAATTTTAGCAGCTCGTTTATTTAGATCCTCTAAGTGCTCATATATCTTCTCAGCCAATGGATGATGGCAGTCACCAACAAAAAATGCATGAATTGAATTCTTAACCTCAATCCAGCTCTGAGCGGGCTCCTTTTTCACACCTCTTTCTTTCATCATTTGCCTTGTCTGATCCCTAGAATCCCATTTCCTAGACACCGCATATAAATTAGAGAGAAGGACATAACTCGCTGAGTCTTGAGGTTCCAATTTAAGAAGATGATGAGCAGCAAATTCTCCTATGTCTACATTCTTATGAACTGCACAAGCGCTTAGGAGGGTCCTCCAAATGATGGCATCCGGTTCAATAGGCATATCCTCTACAAATTTTCTTGCACGACACAAAAGACCAGCTCGGCCAAGAAGATCAACAACACAAGCATAATGTTCAGGTTTAGGCACTAAGCCATGTTCTTTGGTCATGGAGTCAAAGTAGCCAAGGCACTCATCCACCAAACCCACATGGCTACAAGCAGATAAAACTCCCACAAGAGTGACATGGTTTGGTTTCACACCAACCTGTTTCATCTCCTCAAAAAGATCTATTGCCTCAATACCATATCCATGTTGAGAATAGCCCGTGATCATGGCATTCCAAGAAATCTCATTTTTCTCAGGCATTTCCAAAAATTCTTTTTTTGCATCATCAATGCTACCACACTTTGCATACAATGTGACCAAAACATTAGACACTTCAATTTCTAAGTCATACCCTGTTTTTATGATCATGGCATGGATCTGCTTTCCTTGTTTTATATTAGCAGTATTAGCAGCAGCACTAACAGAGGAGATAAAAGTAAATAAATTAGCTTCCACTCCTGCTGTATTCATTTGAGAAAAGACCTGCAATGCTTCCTCACAGAACCCACTCTGTGCAAATCCTGATATTAATGCATTCCATGAAATATTATCTTTCTTATCAATTTTTTGGAATGCTGTATATGCATCTTGCCTCTGACCGCATTTAGCATAAAGACTAACAAGTGCATTGCCAATTGAAAGATCATCTGAGAAACCAGAGAGAAAAGATTGGGCATGAATTTGTCGTCCTTGACTGAGTGCTTGAATACCAGCGCATGCACTGATAGCACTTGAAAGTCCTATGTTATCGGATTGGATCCCTTGGTTTAGCATGTCTCCAAAAAGTTTAAGAGCATCATCAAACATATCATGCTGTGTGTACCCTGCAATCATAGCTGTCCAAGAAACTACATCCTCCTCAGGAAGTCTTCTGAGAATTTCTAAGGCAGTTTCTAACTTTCCAAGCTTAGCATACATGTCAATTAATACACTACAGACGTAAACATCATACTGAAAACCAGTTTTAGTCACTTGAGAATGAATCTGCTCTCCTAAGTCAAGAGCTCCGACTGAGGTGCAAGTTCTTAAAATACTTGGGTAGGTAAATTGATTAGGCACCAATCCTTCAATCTGCATCTGTCTAAATATATGAAAAGACTCACTAAGATTATCTAACTGCCCATACGCAACAAGCATCACATTCCATAAAACCACATTTTCAGTCTCTGTTGTACTAAAGAATTCATGTGCAGTTCCTACGTCAGAGCATTTAACATAAAGATCAAGCAGAGAGCCTTCAACAATTAAGTCCATAGAAAATCCAGCTTTTATAGAGTACGAATGTAGCTGCTTACCTGTAAATAAAGCTCCAAGAGATGCACAGGCACCCAAAAGACTGGCAACTGTAACACAGTTTGGTTTCAAGCTATCATGCTGCATTTTCTCGAACAACTCTAGAGCTCTATCACTATATCCACACTGTGCTAACCCAGAGATCAGTGAGTTATAAGTAGTTTCATCCCGAAGCAGCATATTGCTGAAAACTTGTTCTGCAGACACCAAACTCCCAGAGCGTGAATATAAAGTTACTAAAGCATTGCAGACATTAGTCTCAGAAGAAAATCCCTGTTTGAAAACAAGGCTATGGAGCTGCTGTCCAAACTTAAAGAACTCTATTTTCGTGCAAGCACTTAAAACACTAGAAAATATGTACGGAGTAGGGAAATTTCCCAATATATGCATCTCAGAAAACAACATAATAGCTTGCTCCTCATATCCATTTTGAGATAAGCTGGAGATCATAGCCACCCAAGAAACACTATCCTTCACATATAGTTTATCAAACACCTTTTTCGCTGAATCTATAAATCCATTTTTTGTGTACAAATCAATCAATGGGTTACAAGCAAAGGAGCTAAAACCAAAACCATGATGAATAATCCTAGCATGAATTTGTTCAACATTCTCAAACAGAACATTACTAGCGCTACATGCCTTTAAAATGCTGGTGAATGTACTCTCATTAGGACTCACACTTTCAGCTACCATCCTTAAATAAAATCCCAGGGCATTATCATTCATTTTCCTTGAAACAAACCCAGAAATCATTTTATTCCAAGAAAAAACATTTCTATTTGGCATATCATCGAAAACTTTGATTGCACCGTCTAAATCACCTAAAGCAATATAAAAATCCATAAGCTTTTCAGATAAAAAGTGTTCTTTACTGTAACCCATCTTCAAAATCTTCCCATGAAACTTCTTCCCATCCTCTAATGACCCAGAATTTAAACACCCTTCCAAAAGCCAAAGAAAAGTTTGATGATTGGCTTTAATCCCTCTATTCTCCATCCAATGCAAGATAGCAACTTCCTTTGAATTCCCTTCATTTTCCTCAATAGAAAGCTCATCAAATGAATGAGAAATAGCATTAGTATTATAACAAGCTAATCTCAATCTGCTCCAATTCCTATTAAAATACTGCAAAATTTCCAAAAATATGAACAGAAGATGAGATACTATACCAAAACAAGAAATGGGTAATAACAGAAATCAGTGAATAAGTAATTCAAAACTAAAAAAAAATTACCTTTTGGAAGTTCTGGGTGTGTTTGAGAGAGATATGGAGGGGTTTGAGCTTAATGAAAGGGAAGTGGTAAAAGAAGGAATAAGTGGAGGAACCTTGAAGAGAAATTTGGTTTAGAAACATGGGATTATTGTTGGGTTTTTGAGTATTAGATTGAGCATCAACTTTGCAAAAGGTTTAAAGGATTTGAGTGAGATTTTATTACAGATTTTTGCTAGGTTTAAGGATTGATAGTGGTTTTGTTTTGTTATAGCTCTATTGACTGGCGCCAAAAGCAGGGAAAAGATTAACTAAAACGACCAGTAGTTCATTGTATTTCTTGTCGTTTTGTTTTTGTTTTATTTCAGGTTATAATCGGAGAAATTTGGTTGGATTGCAACCACAGAACATAATAGTTTTGGGCAAGGTATGATCTACGAGGTCAAAGGGAATGGACATATGTACACTGATGGTGAGGAATTTCAAGGTGTTATCAACCAACTGATGACGGTCCTGCTGATGCTGATGTTGATGTTCAAGGGCATCATGAGGCTGTCCCCGTGAATAGAACTGAAACTTGAATAGTTTCACAATGAGAAAGCTGGCAAGAAGATGGCGTCTCAAATGTTTTTTGGCCTCTTAATTTTAATTATAGTTGCAGTTCTCACTTCATTATTTTGGACTGAAGTTCAAGATGAAAGGCTGTATGTTGTTCCAACTTGGAGATTTGAATTCTTCGGCATCTTAAACGTGGTGCAGTGTAATTGAATTTATTGTATTATTAATTAAATTTAAATATTAATTTTAATAAAATTTATTTAGTATAAATTTTTTTTAATCACAGTTAAATGATTTTTTTTAATTATAATTATAATAATAATTATTATTATTTTTAATCTCACCGTTTTTCCTGATAAACTCTTAATCCACTCATTCTGCTCTATCAAACTCTTTCAATCTAGTAACACTGTTACAGGACATTACAATTTCCTTTTTTGTCACAACATTTGTTAGTCCAATCAATGAACAAAATTTAACAGGAGTAAAAGCATTTCTGCTTCTGATGAGAATTGGTTTTCCTGTATGTACTCTTTGCTCCCGCTCTCTTTCTCTGTTTATGTGCTTGATATGAGACTTCAGCCATATTGTGGGAATTAAAGAGCCTCACCATTGTCCCAATGATTGACATTAGCGATCATTAATGGCTTTTCATATTTTCTTAGTTCGTCGTTTGATTTGCTGTTTTTTCTTTATCTTCATTATGGATGCCAGTGAGGTGATGCTTGTGATGAATCTTCCTCCTTCAATTAGAGTTTGAACAATGAGAACATGATATTATTGCATTCAATACTCAACAGTAACACCTTTCTTTCACAAGTATGAAGGCGGATGAAAGTTTACTTGATGAATGTAAAGGCAAGCTCAAGGATGGTTTAGAGATTTGGGTTGTGTAAATGCTGGCAACCTCGCTACACTTCTCCTGGACCTAAGATTATGGGTTTAAGCAAGGCTGATTGACCTCTAATATCCAAAGAAACCAATTACTTGGAGACCATGAAACTCCATTATCACCATCACAGTTGAGGGCTAAAGACACCCCTCCTTGTATTAAAGCCTCACCTTCATCTCCCTCGGAAACTGATGTGTGCAGTAGCTCAACTGTGCCCCCATGCCACATTGGAGTCTTGTAAGATGTGAGGCTGTAATTGGACTAAATATTCAAATTGTAACATGCTCACGGTGTAAACGAACATTAAAAACACTCAAAATGAATTAAATATTTATTCATATTTAATTTATTTACGCTCCTACTCATTCATAACTTCATTTTTTAAGATCTTACCCAACACTCAAAATACAATAAAAAGAAAATTCGTATTGTTATTGATTATCATTTTTTAGCAAATTTTTATACTTCCTTTGATGGGTGAATCTGAATTCTGAATAAAGGGAAAAAACAATCTTGATATGAGAACACGAGACTAACCAAATGCCAATTGCCAAGAGTGGTAACATCCATCGAATTTACTGTCGGAAGATTACAGAATTGATACACGTGAAACACAGATCACCACCAACAACATCCACCATAAAATTTTCAAACACAAGCAAAATTTTCTTTTTTCAAGCTAAAGTGTTTTAGCATCTCAAAAGAAAACAAAAGATCCCTAAGCAAAGTCCGGAAACAGGCCAGTGAGATACAAGAGAAAGGTAATTGATCATGCTGCACAAGACTTAGTCCTCATCCATTCCTGCAGGCTGATCTCTCTTTGCTGGACCTCCAGCTGGTTTTGCCATGATAATCTACAACATTGAATGAATGGCTTAGAAAAAGAAAATTTTCAAAAGGAAAACATAAATGTGATTCTAAGCCACAAATACAGTGTTACTTCCATTTACAAGCGTACTGATTTCAAGTTAATTACCTGATCTACTCGGAGCACAGTGCAGGCAGCATCTGCAGCATATTTGAGAGCAAAAAACCTGCCAAAAAAATCACAAGAAAATATGTCAATGATTGAACTTTTTATGATACGTTGACGCTTAAAGTATCAAAGGTTAATTTTCCATACAAGATTAATAAACTCATAAGCAAGAAAGATTAATTTTCAGAAGATGTAAATAGCAACTTACTTAGCAACATAGAGATCCCAAATGTTCACGATTGAGACATCCTTGCAAACCCCATCCTCAGAGTCACCTCCCTCCAAGTCAATACCTACATTGGTATTTCCAGATGCATGTTTCTCATACAGCTTAGATATGATATCCATTGGATTGAGACCAGCATTCTCTGCCAGGGTTCTTGGTACCATTTCAAAACTTTCAGCAAACTTAGCAATGGCATACTGATCCAATCTGCAAAATATCCCATGTTAACATTAATAGCCTCTTCTTGTAATTTATCTAATGTAATATAAATTTCAAAATGTATAGGAGACTGCGAACAGAGAGATCAAAATATACATGACATATACAAGATATAAAGAAGTAATGTAAAGTAAACTTGACAGTCAACAATGCAAAAGTTGCTTAATTTGGCATATATCTAGCGCAGCCCATGTATAGGATTAAAATGTGTTACTTACTATGCCCAAATGACATAGTGTTTAGGCAGGTAGACTGCCATCAAGGCACAAGTATTCTCATATACCATTCATGCAAGTGAAACAAACAATCATGCAGAATGATACTTTGCAATAAGGAAGTAAAAGACGAGGGAAATAATAGATCACCCTGTTTCCTTAAAGGAGAATTCTTTTAATCTTCTAGCCAACTCAATTTCAGTAGCTGCAGCTCCAGGTACGATACGACTGTCCCTGCACATTGCCTAACCAAAAAAAATGGGCATTAAGAATTTGATAATGATACTTACCTTGAAATTTACATCACATAAAAAAGAAGACTGTCTAGGCAGGCGAGAAGAACAGAACTACATAAGGCTTATACAGGAGAAACTACAAACACTTCGAAGAATACAAAGAAACAAAGAAGAAAATTCAGGAAAAAGCACCTTATATGTGTTCACTCCATCATCAATGGCTCTTTCAAGATCATCCAATATACTATCAGTACTTCCTCGCAGAACCACAGTGGCAACCCTGTTACCACCTTCTTCACTTCTCACAACAGTGACCTACATTCAAAAGGCAACGCAAAATAAAGTGAGCAAAAGACAAGGTGCCAAATATGACAAAAGCAACATCGTAAAACATACCCGAGAACCACCAATTTCCTCAACTGAAACTGAATCAATAAATCCCAAATCATCTGCCTTTGGTTGGCTGAGCTTCAACTGTCGGAAGAATTAAAGGCTCATTATATTAAAAACCAAGCGATATGATCTTTTTCTTTTAAAATAAGGTAGATAGAATGCTCACAAGAGCAGCAGTGCCTGTCGTGCGGCAAAATCGTCTTAGTTCAAATTTTGAGCTGATTTTCAAGACCATTAACCTGCAAGAAAAAAGATTCCAAGTTAGAAATGTTGAACAACAATGCAAAAGCTCCAAATCGAAATATTTATGAATCTCAAAATTGGCCAATCTGTCACTTCATATTCAACATCATAGCATAAATATCAATCAAATACCTAAATATGCACATATCCAACCTTATTCAAGACAAGAAAAGAACAAATAGCATAATAATAGAACAAATAGCATAATTAGAATATGAAAAGGAAATTTAATATACTTGTAACGTTCACAGAAATGCAATGCCATTTCGCCAACAGCTCCTCCACTGACAATAACTTTGGCACCAGAATCAGCAACTGCTTTGATGAGCTCCTCAACCTTAGCTTCTTCAGTTTTTGCATAATTCTCTAGCTACAGGAAAACACCACACAAAAACCTTCCACATTTAAACATATTTAACCAACTAAAGCCACCAATGCCAATTTACTTAACGGACAATTAGACAATCATAATAGATAAATAATCACCACACTGGGAACAAAGTGAAAGATCTAGCATACCTAAATAAATCTATATATATATATATATATATATATATATATATATTTCCCAAAAATCTCATAGATTTTAAAAATAAAACGATGAGGAATTCACCTGCTCAGCAGAATGAATTAATACAGTTCCTTTTGTTTCAGTAGCAGATGTATCGACACCACTGGCAAACACAGCCACCTAAGACAAAATGAATATAAAGGTACAGTTCAGAAAGCAACAAAGACTTTTAACTCTGCCATCAACAATTATAGAGAAACTTTTGTAATACTTAATCAATTAGAAATGGAAAGAGAGAAAAATAAATTTGTACCTTTGCCTTCTCCATATGTTTTATACTTCCCACAGCATCACCTTTTAAAACCATACCTCGAACTACTGTACAATTATGCAAACCTCCTCCAACAAGCTTTGCAACACGGACATTATCGACATCAAAATTTGAAGGGTTCTTGGGGCAGACCTGGATGCATGCCTATGATGCAAAATAAAAAAATAAGAGGTCATGATATCTATCAAAATGCCAGTAGAATAATTGATTAGCAATAAACAAAAGGAATAAAAGTAGCAAATTACATCAGCTATAAGTGAACATAAAATGTCTTCCTGTCCATATTGTTTGCTAGCAACAGCAGCTTTCATTCGAGTAACAACTTGCTCTTTATTCCGAACATCCATATTTTCAGAACCTTTCTCTACCAGTTCCTCCAAAATCTCAATTGCCTACAAATATTAAAAGATTAAAAACAGAACGACAAATCACAACATTTTATCATCGATAATTACCACTGCCTCAATTGCCTACAAATATTAAAAGATTAAAACAGAACGACAAATCACAACATTTTATCATCGACAATTAACACTGCTTGGGTCATTTAAGTTACTCGGAAAAAGCATAGTACAAACCTTGCTACTTGCTTTAGTATACCCACTGATGATCTCACTCGGGTGCAAACCGGTCCTAATAAGCTCCTCAGCATTTTGAAGAAGCTCTCCGGCAAACGAAATCGTCAGATTAGCCCCATCACCGATTTCCTCTTGCTGAGCCTTACCAGCTAGAACTAAAATCTTGGCTGCCGGATGCTGAACCTCAAGCTCATTGACAATAGTAGCAGCATCATTGGTAACAAAGAGCTTGTCTAAATGATTAATGACCATCTTATTCATACCTGAAGAAACACAATAGATCAATAAATTAAAGCAAATGATGGCATTAGAAAAGAACAGTTGATCCAGATTTCAAATCACAACAACAACAAAAGAAAGCGAATAGAGAGAAGGAAAGAGCGAGGTACCGTTGGGGCCGAGGGAAGTGCGGGTAATGGTGGAGAGTTGCTTACAAGCATCGATGTTTTTGAGAACAGCTTCGTCGAGACCTGAGAGATGTTTGTGGCCTTCCTTAAGCATCGATTGTATGCCGTACGGATGCATTGAGAAACCCATTTTTGTTCTTCCTTCCTTCCTTTTTACTCGAACCTTAGCCAAAGAAGAGCAAGAGAGAGTAATACCCTAACCTAACCCTAGAAATTGGAGAAATGGGGAAAAAGATTGAAACTCTTTTGGTTTTGAAGAAGAGGGGAAGAGCAGAGTCTCGAGTGTGAGCGAGTATTTATCCCAGAAAGCCCTAGAAGAACCCCTTTACGCGCCTGCGATGCGCGTGAGACGGATAATTTTCTTTTTAATTTTTATACATTAGTTTTTTTCTCATATAATAATAAGTATTGATAATTATTGACTTTCTTTGATTTTATCACATAAGATTCACCTAAAATGGATAATTATAATTAGATACAATTTTTTAAAGAATTTATTAATATTTGACAAAATTGTGGAATTACTATCATGGGTAAAATTTTACTTATTTTTAACTTAAATTTAAAAGTTCCTAAATAGAATATTTTAAATTTGAGAAATTTGTCTCATGTCAATGCAAAAAAGGTGAGAATTAAAATAAAATATCGAATTTGGATATTTCTGTAAATAACAAAAAATTAGGGATTTTGTTAACAAATAGCCTTAAGACATATTAGAAAAAGCATATTGCAAAAATTAGTTAATATATTATTTATAATAATTTTATAATAAATATAATAATTAATAATCTTATTCATGATTATGGTAATATAATAGCTTTAAAGAGTGCATTATTAAAGTTATTTTTTTAATTCAAAATATAATCAAATAGGAATATGAATAAATTTTATTATTGTTTGTGATATTTTCTTTAATGGTTAAATGCTATTAGAACAAATTGAACTACACATTACTTTGCTATTCTTTGAAGCAATGGCTACAAATTTAAACATTTTTCTCACACATAAAATGAATTTATTACACCCCATGAATCAAAGATTGAGAACAAGAACAGCACAATGACTCCAATACTGCTTTTTTACTTCCTTGTACTAGAAATTTTAAGTAATCATCAAATGCAAAAGATGCAAATAGGAGTAATATTTTTCTCCTCGGGCAATTTTTTTTATCCTCAACTCTTTCTCATTAACAAAAACAAATGACAACAGACGAAAATGACCAAAAAATAAAGCTTAAAAAGCTATTGAGCAGTTTACATTATTCTGCCTATGGATAAATGATATAACACTGAAGCTATGGACCAGACCCAGCTAATAAAATTAGACTCAAAATGACTGATATAGATTATCTAACTTGTTACTAACCAACCAAAAGTACAATCCTATTCCAAATCTAAGAAGCTCATTACCGAGCATTCGTGATGCAAACTGATTTTGCAGGGCCATCTTCGGTTGCAGCAACTGATCCGTTCTCTTCTATGGGTTTCACATCTCCATTCGCCTTTACTACCTCTGCGGATGATGCAATCATTGGTTCTTCTATCAGGGCAGCCCCTACAGATTTTTCCGAAGTCTCCTTTGCTATTGCCGAAATTTCTTTGTTATCAGTTACAACATCATCATTAGACTCCCCATTCAAAACCTGTTTAGGAAGAATATAAAGTAATTAATATTTAAACAGTTTATGCAAGCCATCTATCAGATTCTGTTAAAGTAAAAGGTATGGAAAACATCTTTTATAAATGAGGAAAAAACAAATTTCAGGCACAAGATTAAAGTAAGAGTCAGACATACCCGTTTTTGTGACAGCTGATGCTTAGCCTTTTTCTCTTGGATTATCGTTTGTCGAGCCTCATAAAATTCAAAATCATCAAGAATGCATGTCTTACTGGAATGATCCTTGAAGATTTTAAGAATATGAATCCCCTGCTCAAAATTAACCTACAGCAGCCACCAACCATTTTACAATGAGAAAGATGAAAATCACAAAAGGGTTAATAAAACACACTCACAAAAATATACACAGAGAGAGAGAGAGAGAGAGGGAGAGAGACTACCTCCTGGGTGTCCCTACTATTAGTGACAGGCTTGTTCTCATTGTTCTTAAGTATTATGTGCCTCAATGAAGTGTTTGGCACATCCTTAATGATGTGCCACTTCACAGGGAAGCAACCAGTCCACTTGTCTTGCTGCCAGTATTCTACAGATTTGTTAAAATCAACTGGGCCCACCATCTCTGCTAATCCAACAAACTGTCCACTGGTATTAACCTGGAAAAAGTGCAGGCTTAGTAAAAATCAAGCAAATCATATACTCAGTAAATCAAGACAGCAGATACTAATGTTAATCATACTCACTGAGAACAATAGAAATACAGGACACCCATCAGGCTTCTCCTTGGCCTCACGGTATGCCGCATCAAGTTTCTTGTTTCCATTAGATGTACTGGTCCACACATTGTATTTGATGCTTTTGTGGACGTCATCCTCACTATAGGATTTAATGACAAATAATTTTGCATCTGAATAACTCCCAGGAAAATCTTCTTTATTATACTGCTCCATATCTGGAACAACAGAAACACTATTCTCCTTATTGCTCTTAGTCGGTAGAAGGTTCTGATCTTTGACAGCTAGTGTTACAGTTCCAAAACCATCCTGATTCTTATACCCTTTTACTCTAGGTCCTTTGTTCAGCTCATTTAAACCATCCACATTCTCTTTTCCATAGCCATGAAACTTAGATTTATTGTTGTTAACATTATACCACCCCAGTCCTTTCTTCCGGCCATCATAGCCATATGATCCAAAACCAGAACCACCTCTGATGTTGTTTCCATAATGACCGTAGGTCATGTTGTTAGGGTACATGGGGTTCATATATCCAAATGCTTGGGCTAAACCTGATGATGGTCGTGCATTGTGCATGTTCTGCATTCAGATCATTAGAACAATTCAATCAACAATGAAAGAAGTGCAACAAGAAAATCTTATATCTACCAAGTACGTTTATCAATCTACTTATGCGATTTTGTATCTGTGTTCGTGCATGTGTGTAGGCTAAAATGCAGATATCTATAAAGCAGGGACTCAATCCAAGTAACAAAGAAGTTTGAACATACCATGACATGTGGGAAGGGATGAAGGTTATGATTCCTGCCAGATGAGAGGTTGTTTGTATATGAAGAGAACCCACTATTTGCAGTATGTTTGGATTGCCCATTAGAAGACATCGACATATCTAACCAAGGAATAGGTGATTGAATCCCATCATAACTAAATCTTGGATCCTGATAACCTTGAGATAGATTACCTGTTGGCAAGCCTCCTCCTCTATAGAATGCATTGGGATTTAGAGAGGAGCTATTGAAAGTTGATTTTAATGACCCTGACCCGTTATTACTGCTCAAACCCCCATCACTAGCTATGGTGCTCGAATTTCCTTTATTTGTCTCAATGGATAAGGAAGCTTGATCAGCTAAACCAAAAGTTGAAGCCTCCACTTGAGAAGCATTGGCTTGACCAGTTTGCAGAGGTGTTTGGTAATAAGGACTTGGATAATAGTATTCTTGCAGCGCATGTAGCTGACCATCATGTCCCATAGCAGGAAGAGGTGGACTAGGAATAGAATACGTCCCATATGGCATATAACCATAAGTTTGCTGGTACATGTAAGAGCCATTATCACTATAAAAATCCTGTCAATAGACATTAAGCTTATTAAATACATGCTCAGTCTAACATGCAACCGGTGTAGATCACAAAGCAGACCAGCACAAAAATTTCAAATCCAAAATCCTTCAAAATGAAAATGTTAGCGAGATCATTATAAAAACTCCATATCACCTACATGTCAGTCGGACCATTACACAAAAACCAAATTGTCAATGATAAGTTTCAGAGCAACTTCAAGAGAGTATTAGCCTTCTGCCTAAATCATAAAATCAACAGTGATAATCACTACAACAGATATCATTTATCTCTCAAAGATTTTGCATTATTCTCATTACCACTTATGAACATTATAATCTTGAGTTAATGGCACACAGTGGGATACTAGCACCCGTCTTTACCCACACAAAGAGGGTTGTTGATAATAACTCGGTTATTCAATTAATCAAGCAGCCAACTTGAAATTCACGGCTCAAATTGCAAAGAATCTAATAAAATCAAAACCAACTAATCTAACTAATGGGATAATAGCACCCGTCTTTACCCACACAAAGAAGGTTGTTGACAATAACTCGGTTATTCAATTAACCAAGCAGCCAACTCGAAATTCACAGCTCAAATTGCAAAGAATCTAATAAAATCAATAACCAACTAATCTAACTAATAAAAAGTAAAACTTTTATCAAGACAGGAACATGAAATCAGGATCTCAAGGTCTAAGTACTACCTTCTTGACAGGCTCAGGAACTTTTGTGGTCTTGGCTTGTGAATCCAGAGACAAGTTCTCCAGTGAATCTGCAATTTCTGTGATTGTAGAAGTAAAGGATAAAAACAAAATCAAGAATTTAAAAATTAATCTCTACAAAAGTTCAAATATATCCAAAACATATTACTTAAAGGAACCAACAAAACCATAACTTCAAGCTATCAATATCACATAAACCACCCAATAAATTTATCTCTATACACAAATAGCAACAATCAAAGATCCAAAGATAAAAACAGATTCAAATTCATAAGCTTCACAAACCATCATACTCAAATCTATAAAAGATGAAAATTTTGAGCTAAGAGTAAAGAAATTAAGCATCAACCAGTTAAAAAAAAATTTTCGGTAAACCCTACTAAAACCAATCTAGATAATCACAGAAAATTTTCAAAAGTAAAGATCCAAAGACAAAATACATTCAAAGTCATGAGTTTTAAGATCCATCAAACCCAAATCCATAAAAAAAAAAAAAGAAAAAAAGAAATTTACCATAAACCAACAGAAAAAAAAAAAAAAAAACCAAACTTTTGAATAAACCTCAGTAAAACCATTAAAGATTATTCCCAAAAAACAAATATTAATGAGTTAACACCTTAGAAAAAAGGCAAATCCTTAAGAACTAAAAGAAAATTACCAAAAACCAATAGAAAAAAAAACAAAATGTTTATCTACAAAATCAGAGCATACCCAGAGGAGTAAAGTTAGTAAGGATACGATCAGAACTGGCCATGATCAAAGATCAAGGGTGTTGATTTAGAGAGAGAAAGTAAGAGATATAGAGAGAGAGAGGAGGAGGAGGAAAAATAAAACCCTAGTGTTGGAAAGTTAAGGAAGAGAAAGGAAGAAAGGCGTGGAGAAGGGATAGCCGCCAAAACCCAAGAAGCCTTCTGAGGGTGGGGTTTAAGAAAACACACCCAAAACCAAAAGAACCTAAAACAAAAAAACCCTTCTTTTGTTTTAATTTCATTCAAATAAAACAACTAAAATTTATTGATTTTTTCACAAATTTTTTTTCTGTTTTAAGAGATAGACTTGTTTTGGCCTTTGGGTTGTCGCTAAAATGGAAAAACGATCATTCAAATGCCTCCACGGCTACACTTCCAAATTGGGATATTCTTTTTCTAAGGCAGGGTAGTAGTATTTTCCTTTCGTTGTAATACTATTTTCAAATATTACTTTGATTGTGGGCTTTTTTTTTTCTTTTGGGCTTTGAGGTTTGGACTCCTAAAACATGGTGTATTTTGGATTTAATCCAATTTATTAAAAAAAAGTTTTGTTTTTCTTGTTAACCAAAGTTTGATCCCACAATCTTAATTATATTAGGTTAAAGTGAAGAAATACGCTCTTAAAATTATTCATAAAAAAATTAAATACATCAAGCATTGGCAATACACCTTTAAGATTGTTCAAGGAAAAAAAATTAGATAAAGACAAAATTTTGGAAATACCCCTAATAGTTTTAATATATATAAAAAATTATTAATTAAGTTTTTAATTTAACAAAGTCATTTTTTTCTTTTTGTATATAGGCATTAAAATGGTGATGAATAATTAAATAGAAATAAAATTTTAAGTAATTTGTATATCATTATGAAGACCAATATTGGTGAATGAATAATTTTTAAGTAGTTGTAGTCACATCATCACCTTTACAAATGATATAAACAATCTTTATTTATGTGTCTCAATTAGGGTTACCAACCGCATCTAATTTTTTTTATTTTTGAAAAAAAAAATTTGTCTTAAAAAAGGTAAAATTTATCAAAATCAATTATTATATCTAATCATGAATAACCGTATCGAATTATTTTTTATCTTTAAAAAAAAATATTATCTTAAATTAGAACGAGCAAAATTTATCAAAGTCAATTGTCATACCTAGCTACGACAGATTCATGGTCATGGACTTGAAAACATGTGCCTTAACCAAATCTTGCTAGGTTTGTTGGTTACACACCATGGAACCTTACCAAGGTTCATCGTTCAAGTGTGGATAATATCTCAAATAAAGTGACAAATTGTCTTGAATATTTGAGGGATAATGCAAGGTTTAAGAAAGAAATATGCTCCCAAATTTAGGCTCCATGAACGAGCCTTTTTTAAGTAAAAAAACGGGTAAGAAGGAAGGATGGCTAGCTGCTGTTGTTAGATTTCAAGTTATTGTATTTGAACAGAATTTCCCTTTTTTTTTTCGAGAAAACATGGAACATTAATAATACAAATGAATATAAAATTGGTAAACAAGGAATTTCCTCATGCAAATGTTTGATTTTTCTTATTCAAATATGATATTACATTACTAGTATGATGTTAATCAGTTTTATCCTTATATCAGAAGGTTAACTTCCCTCAAAATTTCAGCACCATCATCGGGAAAGCACAGGATTATCTGTAAAAACCAGTGACTGTATGGTAAATCCTAAGATCAGTGACCTGAAGTGGTGAAGTATGAATCATGAAACTCAATGGTGGGTTAGTCAACTGCAAAGACGTCTTTTTAAGGATGAGTTTTAGCGTGCAAGCCACTAAAATCAACAGCCTGCATTCATACATGTGAATCAAATGAAAATTTCCACGACATGGCTATATATGTCCCCTTAAAGATTCCCGATCGATATCCTATGCAGGTTTAAAGGCCAGACAGAGGCATCTCGAAACTAGATTGATAACAGACCAAAACAAAGCCACTTAAGAAGCCATCTTGGCTTGCATCATGCTTCAAAAGGAACTTCTTTTAACAATAAGTCAATAACTCATTGAAACACACTCACAAAGTGTCCAACAATCACTTGATGTTTAGTGTCTTCTTTTCTTGTGGTTTAATTTGTTTCCATTCTGAATGAATGACGACAAGAGTTCTTACAATACGTTTTCTAGCATTGTAATCTCCACCGCGCGTGCCAAAACAATCAAGACTTATGATGTAGTGTAAAAGAGACGTAAGAGGCATAGATTGGGTTCTCAACGCCATAAGAGGCAAGTTTTGGGGTCCCAAATCTGCAAAATTCTAAAGGAAATTATAGACCAAACATTTTGAAAATTGAGTAAAGGGCGAAGAAAATTTTAGAATAAGTTGTTTGCACTTCCATTTTTATAAATATATTTTGATATGTGTCAAAATAATGATAATTTATAGTCCTTCAGCCCTTTTTTGTAACTTTCCAATCTTTTTTTCTTATAGTCTTATACCCCTAATGCCCTCGTTTTAAGGTGTAACGATTAGGGGTGTAATCGAGTCGAGTCGAGTTGATATAGTGAAAAATTCGAGTTCGAGCTCGATTCACAATTTGAGATTCAATACTCGGTTCGAATTTGATCGAGTTTTATTTTTCAAGCTCGAGCTCGATTCGTAATCGAATTCGAGTTACTCGAACTCATTCGATTAAGCTCGATTAATATGTAAAAATAAACTCAATTCGTATACTCGATAAAAAATTGATTATTTATGTTCGAACTCGAACTCAGACTTAAAATATTTTATTAATTAAAATAATAAAAATATATTTAAATATAAAAACTCGATTAGACTCGCGAGCTACTCGAGTCGGATATAAGAATACTTGAATTCGACTAGATCGATAAGTCGAGCTACTTGAGCTCGGGTTCGACTTGATAATAATCGAACCGAATTCGAATTTTTTTCGAATCGAACCCGAATAACTTGCAAGTATTAATGTATCATTTATACCTCTAATAACGACTGATGAATAGAAAGTTAGATAAACAATGTAAATATCGTCGATTTTTATTGATTTATTAAATTTTATAAATAATTATAAAAAATATTTTAAAAATTATTAATTGAATTAATAAATTATAAATATATTATAATTAGTTTATATGCAATTAGTTAAGGGTATTTTTATGTTCAAAAGGTAAAATGAACATTTTTTATCGTTAAATAAAGTTAACTAACGAGAGATATTTTAAATTTTTGAATTAAATTAATGTGTCAAATTGATTTGAATTCATAAATTCATATAAATTCAATCACTTAATTAATTTATAAATTTGATTTTTTTAACATAAATTTACAACGTTTTGAATGAATGATTAATATTTAATTAAGTTCAGATCTATAGATTATCTCCTGTACTAAAATTAATCTTAGGATAATTTAAGTTGTCTTAAACCCTCTATCTTGTAAGTATAGATAATATTGTCCAAATATTAGTTTTTCATCTTGCTTTTTCTACTTTCCTATTATCTCTTTCTTATTCATTATCTTGACCGGTCTCTGACTTAGACTTCATTTGGATTCACTCATAGCATTAGTGCAGGATAATTTTTACTTTTTTGATGCAATCACACCATTTCATTTCGTTCCGATGTCTACCAATGCAATGTGATTAAGCTCCTCCACTGCACTGGAGCAATAATTTTTCACCTATAAAAAATGATACAGTAAGCTGCTGAACTAGACCATTTACTATAATACCATCATTTTTTTATTTATTTTGTATTTATATTTAAATTAATTAATGTTTTGTATTTTACTTGTTTAATATTATTATATTAAATTTTATTTGATATAAATATATTGTTATCAATTTTAAAAATATATTATTTGACATAAAAATAATTTTTAATCATTTATTAATTTTATAAATATCAAATAATTTAAATCTTTTATTATATATAAATTTTAATTTAATGTCTTTAATGATTATTTTTTATCTTATTATAATTTATCTCATTATTATTCTTGTGTTTACATCAAAATACATATCTCATCATAACGATTAAATTCACTACTATCATTATTATTAATCTCATTAAAATTAATCTTATCGTCTATTTAAATAAATATTTAAATGTTAAAATGTAAATACTGAAACAATTTCTAATATCTATTCTTAATCTTTTTTTTTTCTTTTGTAATTTTAGAATTTTACCCAGCGAGATCATCTCGGTGTCAAACACAATTCTCTTACATCTCTCACTCCCTCACTCTCTGGTCTTTGACCCGAAACCTTAACTGAATTAAACCCAAACATTCGGATGGGTTAAAGCTTTGTTTTAATGAAATTTCATTTTGGGGATAGGTTAAGAAAATAGTAGTAATTCGGTTAATTCCTAACGAAATTCCCCGCCTTCGCAACGGTCAAAAACCTCATTTTAATCCGCCGAGCTAAAACGACCTCGTTTTAGGTCCTCCTTCTTGTTTAATCCCCTCCCAAAAACCTAAAAAAGAAATTCGCAGGATCTCTCGAAGCAAAACCCTAAAACCCCAAATCCCTCACCAAAAATGGCAATCGCAAGAACGGGCGTTTACGTTGACGATTATCTGGAGTGTAGGTTTCAATCTCGAATTGCTCAAATTTTATTTTTTTAAATTTAATTTCGAGTTTGAATTTCATGTTTATTTTAAAGTTTCAACTTTTTTTTTTTAATTTCTATAGATGCAAGCACATTGCCAGCTGAGCTTCAGAGACTCCTCCATACAATTCGAGAACTCGATGAACGGTCCCAATGTAAACCTATTAAAATTTTGGTTTCCGAACATTAGGGTTTTTAAATTTGGGGATTTTGATTAAAAGTTTCTTTTTTTTCTTCTTGGAAGCTATGATTAATCATTCGAGGCAGCAAACTGAGTATTGTTTAGGATTGGCAGCGAAAAGAGGGAATGGAAATAGTTATATGAATAACAGTCATGAAGATGAGGAAACAATTGAGAAAATGAGGAAGGATATAGAGGCAAGTCAAGAAAATGCGTTGAGTTTGTGCACTGAGAAGGTTTTGTTGGCACGGCAAGCTTATGATTTGGTGAGTTTTGTTTGTTTGTTTGTAGGTGTTTGTGATTGAGCGTGCTTTGCTTTGTGATGATTATCTAGTGATTGAGGTTTGTTATGGAATGATAGTGTAGAAAGCCATGAAATTGCCAATCCTGTGCACCATTTTAACTAGCATATCTGAATTCAAGTCCTAACTGGTTACAAACTCCAAACAATTGTTTGCATGGCATAGCATCTAAGTGCTTTTACCCCTCACTATAATGTTTGACTGAAGAGTGAAGAGCACTAGAAATCTGGTTCAAGCTAAGAAAAGGCATAGTTCCAGAAGTAATTCAATTTGTTTATGACTAACTAGATGGTTTTTCATGATTACTTCCCGTCTATAAGAAAAAAAAATTAGATTTTTACATCTTGTTCAGCCACATTTATGGATGCAATGTAGTCTAAAGCCATTGGTCTGGGTTAGTCTTTATGTGCAGCTTCACAAGCTGCTGTATTTTGTGAATCTTATTATAATTAAAGCCATAAAAGTCTAATACTTGAAACTTATTTCAGATAGATAGCCATGTAAAACGTCTTGATGAGGATTTGACCTACTTTGCGGAAGATCTAAAGCAAGGTACTGTAATTGCAGTCAAAATTGAGCGTCTTTGATGGATAAAATACTGCCTCAGGTGATTATCAATTTCTCACCATGCTCTTTCATCCTGCAAATTTATCAGAAGGAAAAATTCCACCAGATGAGCCTGCCATTCTTCCTCCGTTACCTATTGTTCTTCCTAAGCTTGAGAAACGCAAGTACTTTTATGGAACACCTCAATCAAAAAGGCTGGATTACAGGGATAGAGATTGGGATCGAGAGCGTGATAGGGATTTTGAACTCATGCCTCCTCCAGGAAGCCATAAAAAGGATTTTGCTGCTCCTCTTGAGGTTGATCAACCCATTGATCCAAATGAACCTACTTATTGCGTCTGCCATCAGGTTCTGCCTTTTTTCATTTTGTAGATTTAATTATTGATCTAAATACTTTTTCATTGCTTCTTTGATTTAAAACCTTTGGTTCAAATCTGACGGATTGTTTTATAACTTATTTAGGTGTCGTTTGGTGATATGATTGCCTGTGACAATGAAAATGTAAGTTCTTTCCTCGTGTCTTCTTTTGTAATATTGACTAGTACTATCTGTATTTCTCACTTGGCTTCTATGTATTTAACTGCTAGTTATCAAAGTTTCTCATGTTAATCACATCCAAGTGTCGCAATATGGATTATGAAAAAGAATTAACTGATAATGTGGGGTTGGACTAGTGTGCATATGTAGCACGAACACGTGCTGGAATGCATGATTTTCTGAAAGCTCCCCTGTGGCCCCCAAAATTTTGATAGCTATTTATTCATCATTATTTGACACAAGAACTATTAACAATTTGGTTTCTACTTATTATCTAACGTTTCTATTCCTTCAGTGCCAAGGAGGTGAATGGTTCCATTACGCATGTGTCGGGCTGACGCCAGAGACAAGATTCAAGGGAAAGTGGTACTGCCCAACCTGTAGGCTGCTTCCACAATGTCAATAATGATATATATATGTTTTGAATGATTTGAAATGTTTCAGCATCTTTTCAGAATTTAGGAAGTAGTGTATTTGTAATTCAATCAATGGAGATAGGTTTTGTTACAGAGCTTTGAACCATTCAATTTTGAACAAAACTTCAGATTCTTGAAAGTAAATGCTCAGAAATCTAACTTTTGATGGATTGTATATGATCAGATGTGAAGAGCTTGAACTTCCATTATTTTGATTATCAGATGAAAAGGGAAGAGAGTCGATCAATGACCAAAACTTCTCTTCTAAAGTGTTCAATCGGTGGTTATGAATACATAAATTTGATAATAAACATGGAACTTCTGATTCATTGCCTTTAACTGTTTACCTAACGGAATAAAGTCTCGACTTGTCTCAACAGCTCAGAAACATGTTCCACTAAAACCTGCAACCAACTTGGTCTGGTAAGGTACATTCAAATGATTCAGGTCTTTAAGTCTTTCTATTTTGGGTTCAATGACCGATTAAACGGTTCTTACTTTTCTCAAAATAAAGTCAGGGCCACCGTACTTTATATGGGTGTTAAAGACTCAAAATCCAATAATTTTTTTATATAAAAAAATCCTAAATTGAGAATAAAAGAAGAAATTATATATGTAAGTTGTTAACTATTCAATATATATATATATATACCATTTTATGATGACAGTAGTCAAATCAATGATTTTTACAAAAATTTGAAAATTTCCACTTTTCAACTAATTTTCGTTAAAAAAAATTAAAAAATTTAAAATTCGAATTCTTCCATCTGTGCCTCTGGCTAAAAGAAGAATCATATGCTTGACTCTTTGCTGATGTCTGATAATAGATAAGTCTCTTCTGAATATGTGAAGAATTAGAATCCGAGGGCGGGAACGCAAAGATTTTGGGCCCCTGAAAGTACAAGAATTTAAATGACGGAACTACCCTTGTCCTAAGACAAAACCCAACCGGATGAGGCACTGGATCCAATGACTGACACTTCATTAATCTATATAAGGCCACAGAGCTCAGCCTTTATATATATTTTTTTATTATTAAAAATTAAAAATATGAATAAAATAAGTTAAATAATCACAATCCGATTGATTTTGTCGAGATTAAGATGGTATTTGAAAAAAAATGATTATTATAATAATAATTATGATTAAAATTATGGCAGTTGTTTTTTTTAATATTAAAAAAGAGAAAAAGGACAAAAGTGAACTGTAAGTTTGGACACATTATTGTAATCTGTGTCCGTAAGATCTTCAAAGGGCAAAACCGTCAAATATGACTATTTAACAGTAGGACCCACAACAAGAGGGACAGCGGTGGTATTTTGAAGAAAGATTTGAATTTCAATGTAAAAAGGGAAATTCCTCGATCAGACAGCCCTTAATATACGGAGCTATTGATGCAAACAAAAAAAAAAAATCCAAAGAAATTAAAAGAAAGGGGAAAAACCCAAAAATTTTTATTAAAAACCCAAAAAGGAAATCTTTTTTAATTCTTGGTTTTGTTTTTACTGGTTCCAAGATTAAGAAAGTTCTTCCATTTGGTTAAAGAGTCAAAATTTTTTTATATTGGTTTATGGTTAGAAAGACAAGTACTTTGCCAGTTGAAGAAGAAGACTGAGAAAAGTGAGAAAAAATTGAAAGGTTGGGGTTTTTTTTTTTTTGTTTTTTTATAGCAATTTTAGTTCATTTTTTGTAGTTTTAGAGAAAAATTTGAATCACTGCTTTCATAAATTTTGTTTCTTTTTAATTGTTTTATAACATAGCAAAGTTTGCTTTTTTTTTTTTAATTTGATTTTGAATTATTTTGTAGTGTTTACATTTTTATAAATATCCATTTTGTTCAATAAAATTTTTCCTTTTTATTTTAATTTTACACATAGAAAGGAAGAGGCTTTTCTAATTTATGGTTCTTGTTTTGTGATTTTTCTCTTTAAATTTCACTTTTTTCATATCTGTTATTTTTTTTAGGATAAAATAATAAAACCCCTGTTAATTTCCAGATCAAGAAAGGTTTAATTTTGTTTTAGGTTCATAGGAAAAGTAATCAAATATTGCAACTTTGAACTTAGGTTTCTTCCTTTTTTATTATTATTATTATTATTATTATTATTTTATAAAACTGGCTTATTCAACTGGTTATTAGATATGAAATGAATGTAAATTTCTGGTTTGTTGTCTTTTTCTCAGCTTCCTCAATACTGAATCAGGGTGTTAAAGATAGCTGATTTCAAATAGCAAACCTTTTATTTAGTACCATTTGAAGCATTTGTTTGCATAAAACACTCAAGCATGTAAATGACTTTTCTTGTTTTGTATTTTCAGGTAAATGATGGGTAGAAATCTTAGCCCAATATTGCGGAGAGAATTAGCCAATCTTGACAAAGATGCTGATAGTCGAAAATCAGCAATGAAAGCTCTGAAATCATATGTGAGAGACTTGGATTCAAAGGCAATACCGGTGTTTCTTGCTCAAGTTTCTGAGACTAAAGAAACCGGGTGTGTGTCTGGCGAATACACCATTTCACTCTATGAGGTTCTTGCTCGCGTCCATGGTGTGAAGATTGTTCCTCAGATTGATAGTATCATGTCAACCATTGTCAAGACGCTAGCTTCAAGTGCAGGATCTTTCCCTCTTCAACAGGCATGTTCAAAAGTGGTACCTGCAATTGCAAGATATGGGATTGATCCAACCACTCCAGAAGATAAGAAGAGGTATATAATTCACTCACTTTGTGAGCCTCTTTCAGAATCTCTTTTGGGTTCCCAAGAAAGCTTGAGTTCAGGGGCTGCGCTTTGTTTGAAAGCCCTTGTGGAATCGGATAATTGGCGGTTTGCTTCTGATGAGATGGTGAACAAGGTTTGTCAAAATGTGGCTGGGGCTTTAGAGGAGAAGTGCACTCAGACTAATGCACATATGGGCCTGGTTATGGCCTTAGCAAAGCATAATGCTCTGATTGTCGAAGCATATGCTAGATTGTTAATAAAATCTGGCTTGAGAATATCAAATGCTGGGCTTACAGAAGGTAATTCTCAGAAACGATTTTCAGCAATACAAATGATAAATTTCTTGATGAAGTGTTTGGATCCTAGGAGCATACTCTCAGAGGTGGAGTTGATTATGGAAGAGATGGAGAAGTGTCAATCTGATCAGATGGCTTATGTAAAGGGGGCTGCTTATGAAGCTTCACAAACTGCAAAGAAAATAGCACGGGAGAAAGGGTCAAAATTTGAGAATAGTTGTGGTTCAGTTACTGGGTCAAATTTTGGTAGGAGAGACCACCACAGTTGTACAAGGAACTCAGTCCCTACTGATGATAGATCTCCTGCAACTGCTTCACCTGAATCACAGACACTTGATTCCTTTATGGAGTATGATTCGTTGCTTGAGTCACCAGTTTCAATGACTCAAATTTCTAGCAACATGGAATATGATCAAAGGAGTGTGAATCGGAAGCTTTGGAGATATGACAACGGAGGTGTAGATGTATCTCTCAAGGATGGTTTGTTCTCTGCGGTGGCTCAGGGACGTTCCATATGTGATTCACCTTCTTATCATCATGAACTTAGCAATCATGAATCAGAGTTCAAGGAGGAATTTGCAGGATTCTTGCATAGAAGTCCTAGAAATGAGCTACCAAGAAGTGCTACTCCCAGTCCACAGGTAAGATGCTCTAAATTATCTATATTTAGTTGTGTTGATATATTATCACTCTATAGTCTATAATGCCTTGTTATTTGTTGTGCTTCAGAGGTCACGTTCTCGGATTAATGTAGACAACCTCTTTACAACTCCAAGGAAGCTAATCCACTCTCTTCAGGATCCTACTGATTTGAACTCAGATTACTGTGGGAAACAATCCAGAAGGTTCAGAAGTCCATCCTCTGAGAAATTTGGATGGGGCCCAACCACAAACCACAACAATTTTCGGCATGGTATGATCTATGAGGTCAAAGGGAATGGACATTTGTGTAATGATGGTGAGGCTTTTCAAGGTATCTCTGAATCTGTGTCATCAACTGATGACGGTCCTGCTGATGTTCATGTCCAAGGGTCTCATGAGGCAGTTCCAGTGAATAAAACTGAAACTCAAGAGTTTCACAATGTGAAAGTTCGTAAGAAGAAAGCTTCTAAAATGTTTTTTGGCCTCTTGTTCGTTATAGTTGCAGTTCTGACTTCATTGTTGTGGACTGAAGTTCAGGATGAAAGCTTCTACGTTGTTCCAACATAATTCACTCGTTATGTTGTATCAAACTCTTTCAATCCTAGTGAATTAGGAATACTGTTAGAAGGAATTAGGAAGAATGTTGGAAAGTAGGTCGCTACAATGTCCTTTTGTGTAACAATATTTGTTACTTCCATTAATGAACAAAGTGATCAGTTGGCTGTTTAATGAATTTAACAGGGGTAAGTTTGGTGGCTCTTTCTCTTTCTCGATTGAATTTAACAGGAGTAAGTTTGGTGGCTCCCTCTCTCTCTTCTGTTGATGTACCGATATTTGTTACTTCCATCAATGAACAAAGTGATTTAGTTGGCTGTTTAATGAATTTAACAGGAGTAAAGCTTCTCATTAGTCATAAGATTTGGTGGCTCTCTTTCTCTTTCTATCTCTTCTGTTTATGTGCTTATGTCGAGATCGTCTCATCATCGTCCCAATTATTGACATTAGCTATTATTAACGGTTTTCATATTTTCTTGGATTGTCAGGCGACTTAGTTTCCCTATTTTCTTAGGCGACTTATTAATTTAGTAATCTGACGTTGCATTTTCTCTTGAAAATGGGGAATCAGAGCTACTATCTTTTCTTTACAGGACCAAGAAATGTAGAACACTTTTTTTATCTCTATTGTGGAAACCAGTGATAGCTCGGTCTTCTGGCACTTTTTCTCTTTTATCCAACTATATTTTTTCATATGTACAAAATATTCATAGAATATCATATCTGATTTAGTTTCGCATCAAGAATATCCAGTTCCTAGTGTCAAATATGCTCATTAACTCTGCATTTCAGTTCTTAGCCCATATTGTTTATTGATATAACTAAAAACACAAATCATCACCACCTATCATAAAATTCTCAAACACAAGCAAAATTTTTCTTTCAAGTGATACAAGAGAAAGGCAATCGATCATGCTGCAAAAGACTTGGTCTTCAACCATTCCTTCAGGCTGATCTCTCCTTGTTTGACCTCCAGCTGGTTTTGCCATGATAATCTACAACATTGAATGGATGGCATAGTGAGCTTGGGTGAAAGAAAATTTTCAAAAGGAATATATAAGTGTTAATCTAAGCAATAAATACGGTTTTACTTCCTTTTTCAACCTTTTTGTTTCAAGTTAATTACCTGATCTACTCGTAGCACAGTGCAGGCTGCATCTGCAGCATATTTGAGAGCAAAAAACCTGCCAAAAGAAAAAAATCACAAGAGAAGTCGTCGATGATTGTACATATGTGAGACGTTTACGATTAAAGTAATAAAGGTTGATTTTCCACAAAAGAATAATACTCATAAGCAAGAAAGATTAATTTTCAGAAGATGTAAATAGCAACTTGGTAATATGGAGATCCCAAATGTTCATGGTTGAGACATCCTTGCAAACACCAACATCAGAGTGACCTACCCCCAAGTCAACGCCCACTTTGCTATTTCCAGGTGCATGTTTCTCAAACAACTTGGATATGATATCAATTGGATTGACTCCAGCATTCTCTACCAGGGTTCTTGGTACCACTTCAAAACTTTCAGCGAACTTGGCAATGGCATCCTGGTACAATCTGCAAAATATCCCATTTTAATATTAATAGCCTCATCTAGTACTTATAGATCTACCATAAATTCCAAAATCTATAGGAGAAACAGAGATCAAAATCTACATGACAAATGTGAGACATTGATAAGTAATATAAAACAATAATGCAAACATTGCTTCAATTGACACATATCCAGAACAATCCCTTTATAAGATTAGAAAGTGTTTCTCTAAAGACATAATGGTTAGGCAGGTAAACTGCTATTAAGGCACAAATATTCTCATATGCCATTCATGCAAGTGAAACACATAATCATGCAATAAGTAAAAGCAGAGCGAATTAATAGATCACCCTGTTTTCTTAAAGGAGAATTCTTTCAATCTTCTAGCCAACTCAATTTCATTGACTGCAGCTCCAGGTACTATACAACTGTCCCTGCATATTGCCTGACAAGAGCAGCAGTGCCTGTTGTGTGCGAAAAAGGAATTTACACATTTTTTCACACATAGAAACGAATTTATTACACCCCATATATTAAAGATAGAGAACAAGAATAGCACAATGTCTCTAATACTGCTCTTTTATTTCCATATACTAGAAATTTTAAGTAAAACACAAAAACCATGTCTTCATCAAATGCAAGATCCAAATAGGAGTAGCATTTTTCTCCTTAGGCATTTTTCTTCTTCCTCAACTCTTTCTCATTAAAAAGGGAAAACAGATGACAAAAAAAAAAAAAAAAAAAACCCTCAAGAGGCTATTGAATAGTCGCATTCTGTCTCACTATGCCAGCTACTTTGCTGTAAGGAAATTCTGAAAGGTGCTACCTCCTAAGGAATAAGCTATAGACCAGTCCCAGCTAATTAAAGAGACTCAAAATATAAGAAAAGAATTAGCTAACTTGTTAATAACCAACCAAAATTACAATCCTATTCCATATCTAAGAAGCCAATTAGCAAGCACTCATGACGCAAACTGATTCTGTAGGCCCATCTTCAGTTGCAGCAACTGATCCCTTCTCTCCTATGGGTTTCACATCTCCATTTGCCTTTACTAGTTCTGCTGTTGATGCAAAGGTTGGTTCTATCAAGGCTGCCTCTACAGATTTTTCCAATGTCTGCTTTGCTATAGCTGCATTTTCTTTGTTATCAGTCACAACATCATCATTACGCTCCCCAATTGAAATCTGTTTAGGAAGAATAGAAAGTAGTCAATATTTAAACAGTTTATGCAAGCCATCTTAAGATTCGATATCTATATGATAAACATCTTTATAAGCGGGGAAAGAAACAAGATTCAGGCACAAGATTTAAATACGAGTCGATTGTACCTGTTTTTGTATCAGCTGATGCTTGGCCTTTTTCTCTTGGATTGTCTTTTGACGAGCCTCATAAAATTCAAAATCATCAAGAATGCAAGTATTACTGGAATGATCCTTAAAAATTTTGAGAATTTGAATCCCCTGCTCAAAATTAACCTACGGCAGCACAAACCATTTTACAATGAGAAGGATGAAAATCACCAAAAGGAGAAATAAAACACATGCTCATAAACATATAGAGAGAATACCTCCTGTGTGTCCCTACTATTGGTGACAGGTTTGTTCTCATTGTTCTTAAGTGTTATGTGCCTCAGTGAAGCGTTTGGCACATCCTTAATGATGTGCCACTTCACAGGGAAGCAACCAGTCCACTTGTCTTGTTGCCAGTATTCAACAGTTTTGTTAAAATCAACTTGGCCGACCATCTCTGCTAATCCAACAAATTGTCCACTGGTATTAACCTGGACAAGGTGCAGGTTATTAAAAATCAAGCCAATCATATCAAGAAGTAGATACATGTTAATCATACTCACTGAGAACAACAGAAATACAGGACACCCATCAGGCTTCTCCTTGGCCTCACGGAATGCTGCATCAAGTTTCTTGTTGCCATTAGATGTACTAGCCCACACATTGTATTTGATGCTTTTGTGGACATCATCCTCACTATAGGATTTAATAACAAAAAACTTTGCATCTGAATAACTCTCAGGAAAATCTTCTTTATTATACTGCTCCATATCTGGAATAACAGAAACACTATTCTCCTTATTGCTCTCAGTCAATGGAAGGTTTTGATCTTTGACAGCTGTTCTTGCAGTTCCAAAACCATCCTTGTTCTTATGCCCTTTTACTCTAGGTCCTTTGTTCAGCTCACTTAAACCATCAATATTCTCTTTTCCATAACCATCACCCCTAGATTTGTTGTTGTTACCACCATTATACCACCCCAATCCCTTCCTCTGGGCATCATAGCCATATGATCCGAAACCAGAACCACCTCTATTGGCATTTCCATATTGACCGTAGGTCATGTTGTTAGGGTACATGTGGTTCATGTACCCAAATGATTGGGCTACACCTGATGGTGCTCTTGCATTGTGCATATTCTGCATTCAGACCATAAGACCAATTAGGCCAACCAACAATGAAAGCAACAAAATCTTATATCTATCTACCTAGTACCTCTATCAATCAACTTATGCAACTTTGTATCTGTGTTTGTGCATGTGTGCGGGTTAGAATCCAGATATCCATAATGCAGGGATTCAATCTATGTAACAAAGCAGTTTGAACATACCATGACATGAGGGAAGGGATGAAGGTTCTGATTCCTTCCAGATGAATGGTTATTTGCATAAGAAGAGAATCCATCATTTGCAGTATATTCGGATTGCCCATTAGAAGACATTGACATATCTAACCAAGGAATTGTTGACTGGATCCCATCATAGCTAAATCTTAGATCCTGATAACCTTGGGCTAGATTACCTGTTGGGAAGCCTACTCTTTTATAGGTAGCATTGGGATTCAGAGGAGAGTTCTTGAAAGTAGATTTTATTGACCCTGACCCATTATTACAACTCAAAACCCCACCACTTGCTATGGTGCTCAAATTTCCTTTATTTTTTTCAATGGATAAGGAAGCTTGATCAGCTATACCGAAAGTTGAAACCTCCACTTGAGAAGCATTGACTTGACTAGTTTGCAGAGGTGGTTGGTAATAAGGACTTGGATAATAGTATTCTTGCAGCGCATGCAGCTGACCATCATGTACCATAGGAGGAAGAGGTGAACTGGGAATGGAATATGCCCCATATGGCATATAACCATAAGTTTGCTGGTACATGTAAGAGCCATTATCACTGTAAAAATCCTGTCAATAGACATTAAGCTTATCAAATACAAAAAATCAGCCCAAACGTGCAACCAGTGTAGATCCAAGCAAATTGACAGGTTAACAATTAATCATGTCTCCATCTTCCAAATAACAGCAAGACAAAAACTCAAATTCCAAATCCAATATCCATCAAAATGAAAATGTTAGTCAGACCATTATGCTAAAACCAGATTGTCAATGATAAGTTTCAGAGGAACTTCAAGAAAGCATTAGCCTTCTGACTAAATCAAGAGTGATAATCTAAGTACTACCTTTTTGACAGGATCAGGAATTTTTGTGGTCTTGGCTTGTGAATCCAGAGACAAGTTCTCCAGTGAATCTGCAACTTCTGCGATTGTAGAAGTAAAGGATAAAAACAAAACCGATAACTTCAAAATTAAACTCTAAAAAAGTTAAAATATATCAAAGGCATATTACTTAAAGCAACCAACAAAACCATAGATTCAAGATATCAATATCACATAAACCACCCAATAAATTTATCTCTATATACAAATAGCAACAATCAAAGATCCAAAGATAAAAGCACATTCAAATTCATAAGCTTCCACAAACCACCATACCCAAATCCATAAAAGATGAAAACTTTGAGCCAAGATTACAGGAATTAAGCATCAACCAATTAAAAAAAAAAAAATTTCAGTACACATACTAAAACTCATCTAGAAAATCACAGAAAAGTTTCAAAAGTAAAGATCCAAAGATAAAAGACATTCAAATTCAAGAACTTTAAGAACCATCAAATCGAAATCCATAAAAAAAAAAAAGAAATTTAGCATAAACCAATAGTAAAAAAAAAAAAAACTTTTAAATAAACCTCAGTAAAACCCACAAAAATATTTATCTACAAATCTACAAAAACAAGGCATACCCAGAGGAGTAAAGTTAGAAAGGATACGATCAGAGGTGGCCATGATCACAGATAAAGGGTGTAGATTTAGAGAGCAAAAGTAAGAGATTTAGAGAGAGAAAGAATAAGAAGAAGGAAAAAAGGAAACCCTAGAGTGGAAAAACTTGATTTAAAGGCGTGGGCCGTGGAGAAGGGGTAGCCGCCACAACCCAAGAGCCTTGGGAGGGTGGGGTTTATGACTATATCCACAGAAGTGACTAAAAGGTAAAAAATAAGGGTGAGAAGAAAACTTTAGAAAATCGAAAGTGATTTTGTAATTGTATAGTTTTGTTTGGTTTGAATTAGCTTTTTAATATTTGATTTGAACTAAATTTAAATATTAAATATATATTAAATTTAAATTAAATTTTGAATTGAAAAATAAAAATAAAAAATAATTAAATCAAATGACATATTTTTATTAATTTATATATATTTTAAATTTTTATAAAATAAAAATGATTATTTTATATCTTAATTTATTTAAATGTATTAAAAATTATATTAAAATAATATATAAAAAATAAAAAATTTAAATTTAAAAATTAATGAATTGACCTGTATCAATAAAACTCAATTCAAATCATATTGTATAAAAATTCAATTTAAAATTGAATTAAATTTTAAAAGGTTCATAATTTTTATACTATTTTAAAAATTTAAATCGAATTTCATTCAATCCGATATTGATAATTAAAAAGTTAAACCGGCTCATTTTATACATTCTTTTAGTTGTGTACTTTGAAAGTTTACTTTGTTTGATCGTGGCCTTCAGAGTTGGGACCCTTTGAAACATGGTGCACTTTTGATTTAGTCTAATGGGTTTGGTTTCAGATTAAGCCTAGGCCTTAATCAGAAAATAAGAAATCAAAGTTTTACTATACATCTCTACATAATTACATCATTGAACAGTTCCATGCATTTAGGCTGAATCAAAGAGTTACATATATGCAAACATATGGGAAACTTCCCATGTGCAATGTCCAGTGTCCCATCTTTTCTTGAATACAAAGAAATAAATCAGAAGAGAAAAATCTAATGCTGGCTCAAATAGATTCGCAAGAGATTTCCTCTGTAAAATGTTGATTTTTCTTATTCAAATACGATTTTTATGTTACTAGTATGATGTTAATCGGCTTTATCCTGATGTTGGAACATTAACTTCCCTCAAAACTTTAGCAGCATCATCTGGAAAAATGGGGTTTATGTAACATCCAGATCCGAGTTCAAAACCTCCTACACCAGTTAACTGAGGAACTATCTGTAAAAACCAGTGACTATAAGGTAACTCAGAATCAGTAACCTGAAGCGGAGAAGTATGAATCATGAAATTGAATGGAGGGTTATTCAACTGCAAAGACATCTTTCTAAGGATGAGTTTTAGCAAGCCACCAAGATCAACTGCCTGCATATGTGTGAATCAAACGAAGTATAAGTTCCTCAACTGTGCAAAGGTACAGAAATACCTGGAAATTAGAATGCAATGCTAATCTGTTTATTATTTTGGTTATGAACAAACATATTTTATTGCATAAAGAAGCAGAAATCTTTTTTTTCTTTGAAATTCTTTCAACTACCCCATCTGATGAATTAAAGTAACCCTGCTCTAGTATTCAACATCATCTCTACAATATGAAATGCATTTTAGCTGATACGGGGAAAGTCCAAAGAAAATCAATTTTCGTAACTCATTATGGGTGCTTTTTATTAGAATTTCCCTAAAAACTGAATTCTTTTACCCTCATTCAAATTTTGTATTGCTTGTTTCATATCATCTTGTACAAGACTACAAGTATTATGGAAAAATATAGACTACAAGTATTATGGAAAAATATAGTCATAATAGTTTTGCATTCCCATGAAATTGGTATATCTCCTTAAAGATCCCCAATATCCTTATGCAGGTTTAAAGGCCAAACTGGCATCATGAAACTAGTATTGCTAACATACCAAAGCAAACAAACTAAAAAGGCCATCTTGGGTTCACTAAATACTAAAGAAATAACACTAGCATTATGCTCCAAAGGAACTTCTTTTACCAATAAGTCAATAACTTATAGAAACACGCAAAGTTTCCAACAATTTGATGTTTAATGCCTTCTTTCTTGTGTTTTTATTTTCATTCTGAAAGAGTGACGGTGAGAGTTCATACAAGAAATTTTCTAGGACTATTATCTCCGCCATAAGTACCAAATCAAACAAGCTAAGTGAAACTTATGATGCAGTGTGATACAAGAAAAAAAAAAGGTGATATCATAAAAGAATAGAACCATGAAGCATTAGAAATTACACTTTTATTGTCCAATTCATCAAAACGAGAAGAGTGATCTCGGGGAATTATCCATATCTCAAAAGGAAATGAAGCAGCAAATGGAACAATTGAAATGAAACTGGTGGTTTCATTAATCAAGAGGTCCTTTGATTGGACCTCACAGAGACTACATTTCCCTGTCTGATTAAAATACTCCTTCATACTGTCAAGTCGAGCAGAAACACTGGGAGGAACAATTGGAAGAGATAGCATCTGACTGTGAGAGTGACTCAATGAAGCCCCAGCTGAAGCTCCATGGTTCTTGAACACCTAAGAAAAGCATTAAACCAAAGTCAAATGAAGTTCCACTAACAACCTACAGGCATGCCAAACTAACACAAATACAAGGACAGAGGAAGGGAGAAATGGGATGCCTTGATAAAAACATTATCTTAGACATTGTCATGTTAGAAAGAAAACATACTACGGAAAAGAACCCAATTAGCTCTCAAAAATTGGAACCTCAAGAAATGAATGAAAATTAAGGGCCTCTATAATCGTATCATAAAAAATCCATCATTTGAGATAAAATTTAGAGCACATTCAATCATCAAAATAACAAGAAAAGCTCTACTCTTTTCAGATAGTTCAAATCAAAACTAATCCAATGCCCTGATCTTCAAACAACCCAACAGTCCTCTTTTCCAAACAAATCCATATTCACACATAAAAATTAAAAAAAAAAAAAGAAATTCATATCAAACAAATGCTTTTGACACATTTCCCATTAAAAAAAACCGTTTTTCCCTCACCTGAACATATTTGATTGAATCAAACCCTTTAATCTGCTCAATCCTCCTCTTATAAGCAATCAAAACGTCACCAATCTCCCTTGGATCCAAATCCGACAACTGAACCGAGTGAACCGGAGTTTCAATCACCACATCGTGAAACCCGAACCCGGGTACGACCCGATCCCACCTGCCCAATTCGCTAACCGAATCGTCATTTTGGCCAATTGGGTACTCGAGATTCCTGCTCAAAGCAGGATACAAGTTCTCGATGACTCTGAGTTTCCAATTCGGTTCGGGCGGGACCCGAAATATCTCAGGTGCGCACTCGTGCTCATTGCCAATGCAAAATGGGCATGAGGAAGAATTAAGGTTAGGATTTTCTGGGGATTTGGATTTGAAATCTGAAGGGCGTTTTGCTCGGGCCGGAGAGAATATGACCCATCGGTTGGTTACCGGGTCTTTTCGGAGTTCAGGGTCCCGAGTTGGCAGTAGTGTTGCCATCAGCTTTGTTCTCTCTTTGTTCTTTGTTAATGTTATTTGAGGTTCTAAATAAAGTTGGATTTTTACCTATGTTTGATTGACCCAATGTCATTTTGAACATCACTATTGTAATTTAATCATCCAAATAATTTTATTATATGATAATTTCATTGTAATTTAATCATCCAAATAATTTTATTATATGATAATTTTATCATTTTTTATTCAAAATTATTTTATTTGATTACTATAATTAATTCTTAAATTTTAAAAAATTATTATATTTGATATTAATAAAAATAGAATATTATTTTATATAAAATATCAAATAATTATATTATAATAATTACACAATAAAAATAATAAAATTAAAATAATAATTTATAAAATAATAATATTTTATTAATTTTATACAAAAATATAATTAAAAATTTAAAATTAATAAATTTGATTAAAAATAAAATAAATTTGTAGTATATCATATCAGAATAATTCATAAATTAATTAATTTTAAAATTTTAAAAAAATATTTAATCTTAAAAATATATTTAAAATTAATTCTATATTTTGAGGTGATTGTAAGGTAAAATATTTGGTAAAAGATAGTACGGCCCAACCCAAACTTAAAATAGTAGCATTTACTTTGCCCAAATGAGAAGGTCTTTGAGCTGAGAAACCCAATATATGGGCTTTTGTGTTATCCAATCCTAGATTATAATGGGCCTAAAGGCCCACTCTTCTGTGAACTAACAGAAACTAAATCCAAGGAAACTACAAAACCCTACTTACTGTATTTCGCTTGTTGAGAAACCCTTGACAGCCTCGGCTCATAGAAGTAAAGCAGCGACAAGGAAAAAAAAACATGCGACCACCGAGAGGCGGCGGGGGTTTCAGGGGTGGCAGGGACGGTGGCCGTGGGAGAGGAGGTGGCCGAGGAGGCTTTGTTCGAGGTGGTGGACGTGGTGGAGGTGGATTCCGTGATCGTGATGAAGGGCCTCCTGCTGAAGTAGTGGGTTAGTATTTTTTTTTTTGTCTTTTTGGTACCATTTTTTTCTTGTTTGGATGCTAAGAAAGTGAAAGAAATTATAAAAGAAACCATTTGAATGCAATGATGAGTAAGTAGAAACTTTTTGTTTATTTATTTATGTGAATTTCTCTTTTTTTTTGCATTATCTCTATATTTTATTTCTGATTGGATGCTGAGAAAATGGAAGTTAATTATAAAAGAAGCGATTTTGATGCACAGAAATGCTAAAAAAATCATTTTTCACTATGGGTTTTCTCTTTTTTTTTTGTTTAATAATTATTTTTTCCTGCATTATCTCTTTATTTTTCAGGTCTTTAATTAAGCTAGAGTGTAGTTAAAGAAAAATGCCAATATGAAATTATTTTATTTACCTTATATTCTGATTTTTTTATTAATAAAAGATATTAACTTGACTTTCTTTGTTTTGTTATTTATGCAGAGGTATCTGCATTTCTTCATGCATGTGAGGGTGATGCAGTGACAAAGCTGACCAATGAGAAAATACCTTTCTTTAATGCTAATATCTATCTGCAGAACAAGACCCGGATTGGGAAAGTTGATGAAATCTTCGGTCCCATCAATGAGTCTGTGAGTTCTATTGCCAGTTTGAAGCATTTTCTGTCAAAGTTTGGACTTTAAGTGTGTTCACTTAATTACTTTTCTGCTTGTTGCAGTTTTTTTCAATCAAAATGTTGGAAGGTATTGTGGCGACTTCGTATGCGCCGGGTGATAAGTTCTATATTGACCCGGCCAAACTTTTGCCTCTTGCAAGATTTCTTTCACAACCAAAGTATGTTTGCCATGCTTACTCTCTGTTCCAAAAGTGCTTTGATTTGATTTGTAGGATTGATGATTTTGTCCTGGAGTTGTTTTGATATGATGGGCTCTAATATCTTATATGCTTTGATTAAATTTACAAATTTTGTCCTTATCGTAAGTTTTGATGTATTATTGGTGGTTTGCTGAAGTTACACATTTGGCTTGTTGTCAATTGCTAGCTTTTACCCCCTGATGTTTAGCTCAAGCATTTGGTTCATTTATCGTTATGCACTATTTACGAGTTTCCATGCATTCTGTGTGTTTGGTTTGAATTTCCCCTATGATTCAGAAAAAGTCTAATATCATATTGTGTAATGTGGTAGGGGACAGGCACCAGCTGGTGCAAGAGGTGGTCGTGGAGGAGGCAGAGGTGGCAGTAGAGGTGGTGGCCGTGGAGGTGGTGGATTTCGTGGAAGGGGTGCCCCAAGAGGTGGCAGAGGTGGTCCTAGGGGTGGTGGCCGTGGTGGCGGATTTAGAGGCAGAGGGAGATTTTAGAGTAATAGCATTTTGTAACATTACCAATGCCCTTTTCTGCTACCCCTTTCGGATGTCATGGGCGTACAACTTTGAAAACTTGATGCCGAACTTTAATTGTGACTCTGTTTGTGTTCATTGGAGATACATTTATTTCACGTTTTTGTTTATCCAAAGTGCAATACCTGGATTTGGTTACTATAAATTTCGAATACGATCCATGCTAGATCGTTGTAGGTCTGACATGGTTGTAATCTGTTGCACTGCTTGAAATTGTACAGTGCTTCGATTCGTTCATTGTTGTAATCAGGGCTGGTCAGTTCATGCGGATTGCATTTAGCATGTTTAACCTAGATTCGTTCTGCTGTGAATTCAAGACCACTATTATTAGGTTGTGCGTCAGGCATAAACCTGATCAGAATCATATATAAGTGATGAAACGTTTTCTGGGGAAACCAAACAGGTATTCATAAGTAGAGCTCAAGGCAGAATTTCTCATTAAGGCAACAAATTAAAATGGCCTCTTTTGAAGCTCCTCACATCAATAAGGATTTACCACAATAGCGGACAAGAATCAGGGGGCTAATAGAAGCCTCCAGCTTTATTCAAATCAGCATAGCATCTTATGCTTCCCAACCTCTCAGAACAGTAGCCCGTGCAACACGGTTAACTCCAAGGGTAAAGGCTCCCATTCGAAGTTCACAGTTGTGGGTTTTGCACATCTCTTTCACATCTTTAAATCCTTTGGTCATGTATGTCTTTAGTTCATCGTTCACCTTCTCCTCATCCCACATGAAGCCTTGAATGTTCTGCAATGGAAAAATGACTAATAACATCTATATATATAAATTCAAACTATAAATGACGAATAACTGGACTAATTTTTGACGAATTTTTAGCCGGTAATATAAGCAGAAGAGGATCAAATATGATACCTGCACCCACTCAAAGTAACTAACAGTTACTCCTCCTGAGTTGGCATATATGTCTGGAAGGATGACCACCCCTTTCTTTGACAAGATCTGCAAGTGAAGAAGACAATGAAATGAATTATATGCCCATCTTTTAATTGATTGTAACTGGCTAATTGCAAACTTCAGAAAAGCACTAACCTCATCAGCCTCTGGATCAGTTGGATGGTTAGCAGCTTCAATAATGAACTTGGCTTTAATATCATTTGCATTTTCCCTTGATTAAGATCAAAGGACGACATTTAGTTTCAATCAAACTCATTTGCAGCAATGAAACAGAAAAAAGAAAAGAAATCATTAACATAGAAAGAAGTTTATATGGCTGGGTTGTATTAACACAAAGTTCTTGTTGCAGAAAAAGAAACCTGTTGATGACGCCGCCAAGTGCTGCTGGTATGAGTATGTCACACTCTTCAACCAGAATTGACTTGGGATCTATAGAGTCCCCACCATGGAATCCTTTGACACCCTTGTTTTCTTTGGCATGCTTGAGTAGGCTGGGAATATCAATTCCTTTGCTGTTCTTTATGGCTCCTGTGATATCACTTACAGCAACAACCTTCCCACCCTTTTCATGGATGAGTTGAGCAGCCCAGGAACCAACATTTCCAAAACCCTGAAATGAAATTTACATTCATCAGTTTGAGAACTGGTATTTTTAAGGGGAAAAAAATACCATTTTATTAAGTGTATTTGTATCAAAATCTAATTTTGTCTGGCATCCAAGGTACACCTGTATTACAAATTTTTGTCCAGAGATGGTCTTTCCATGCTCTTTGAGAAGGGCCTCTGTGGCAAAGAGCACTCCTCTGCCAGTAGCTGCATCTCTGCCAAGTGATCCTCCAAGATCCTAAGGAAAAAGGTTAAGAATAATAATACAATGTGAAGTTGAATGCTCTCTTTCTCTTTAGATATACTCACGGTTGGTTTTCCAGTCACTACAGCAGGTGAATAGCCATGGAATTTGGAGTACTCATCTAGTATCCATGCCATTGTCTGTTTGACCAACAGAAAATACCATTATCAATTTCGAAGTTCACTTTTCAAACACTAGAACCAACTAGTCCATCTGCAAGTGGCAGCAGGGAAGGAAAATGGGTAGATTTGAGATATTTGAGAAATATTAATTATACCTGTGGACCTGTTCCCATGTCAGGTGCTGGAACATCTGTGTGAATTCCAATCAGGTCATGTAACTTCTGGGTGAAAACTCGAGTAAGCCGTTCTAGCTCAGATATGCTTAACTTTCCTGGATCACATCCTATCCCACCTTTAGCTCCACCATATGGGATATTGGCAACTGCAGTCTTCCACGTCATTAGTTGTGCCAAAGCATTCACTTCATCAGGGTCAACCTAGATAATTCACAGGTTCATCATAATCCTCTAAGGCATGCTAATTTTGAAGTTCATTTGTTGGTAGAAAAAGTTAGGAAGCAACTTCTAGCAGGAGAATAACTTTCTGCTATTATCATATTTCAGAAGATTTCAAACAGAAGAATGTAAACAACCTCTGGGTGATATCTGATTCCTCCTTTCATGGGGCCTCTTGCATTGTCATGCTGAACCCTGAACCCAACAAAAGATGCCAAAGTGCCATCATCTTTAGGTATGGTGCATTCAACCTGCAAGATATGTTCAAAATCAATTAGAGTAGCATAGTAGAAGAAAGAGAAAATCTGCCAGAGATCCAGCATCACCAGTTAAATGAGTAGTTGAATATTATTGGAACATTATCTCTAAGTCATCTTGACCCTTCATAGATACATTTTTTGGCCATTGAACAAGAGAAATTTTTGTTCATTGAGCAAAGAGAAATTTAATCACCTTGATTTCCCTGAAAGGAATGAGCAAACTCTTTTCAAGCTTGGAGTCCAAACCAAGAAGCCGGGCTGCCAGTTTAAAGTTTCTGTTGGTTGCTACTAGTGCATTCATGGTTGTTCTGAGCAGTTAGCACTTTCTGTTGAGAAAAAGACTGAAACAAAAGACTCAGAAATCAGAAGATTAATGTTTTCTTGCTTACTGATCCTAGATGAAGAAGTTGAAACAATTTAAACCATTTCTCTTGTGGAAAAACATGCCCAAAACTTAAAATGTGGTTCATGTGCAGCATAAATGAAGTCAATGCCATCTAATATTAATATAAATGAAAAATAACCACGTTTGTTCAATTTTAAAAGGCTATGGTCATGGCATTAGGAAAACAGATTAGACCTCTATACTTTTCATACTACATCAGCATTTTATAGGTGATTGTTACATGCAAGATTTGCTGCCTAACTTTCATTATTAAAATGCAAATTGATCTTAAGAGTCTGCTGGATATGCTCTGCATTTATACTAAATCTCTAGCTTCATGTCCACATGATATTTTATATTGCGTCAGGAAAATTCTTTATTAGTTCCTCTCGTTATTGTTTGTGTTCAAATTTATTAAGAATTGCAGGAAGGAAATTTTTTTATGAATTTAATAGATTTAATGTAAATAAACTTGTTTGAACTGATTCAAGAAAAAAATATAGTAGACAAAACCTAAAAATCTTTTGTCGCTTGAAAAAATATTAATAAACACCTGATTTTTTCAATTTGAGTAGTTCATAAATTGCGCCATTGTCATACATCACCAAGTTTTAAGCTGACAAATTCAAGAATTTGATCATTTTTATTTGTCTTCATGTTTATTAATAGCATAAAATTGGTTTAGCCTTCACCACACCAACTTATCCAAATCAAACCCAGCTTCCAAGAAGTTGACCATTTCACTGTTCTATCCTCTTTTGGATAAACTAAACCAACATTGCAAAACTTTGAAGTCAGGCTGTAATTGCATTTAGCCTAGCATTCTCCCATTTGGGGTAAAAAAAAAAATCAATAAAAACAAGGGCCCCTACCTTTGTAATTTCAATTTCATATCAACTCTCATTTCATGAATAATGAAATTTCATGTAGTATAAAATTACAAAAAAAAAAAAAAATTAAGATTCATGAACAAGACAGCATTTAACCTAGCATTCTCCAAAAAAAAAAATCAATAAAAACAAGGGGCCTACCTTTGTAATTTCAATTTCATATCAACTCTCATTTCATGAATAATGAAAATTCATGTAGTACAAAATTACAATAAAAGACAAAAAAAACTAAGATTCATGAACCAAGACATGTAATCCTAAGACTTAACTAGGCAAAATATTCAGAATGGCATGGACATTGATTATACAAAAATTTTGAAGTAGGGGTGAGGCATGATAGGGTAGCTGGAGATCTTATCTATATCTATGTACTGAGTACAATCATGTGGGAAAATTGGTAATAAGATAAGATCAAGAAGCAAATAAGGAAAGTTTCCTTAAAGCTTGACTAAAGGCTAGAAATGGAGTACAAGTCTGGTCATTTCAGGTTGGCCACCAGCTACCTAGCTAGGATGGATATCGATGAAGAAACAAATATCTTTAACAGGAAAATGTTTTAGATGAACAAATATAAATATTTCCAAGAATTTGCTTCTGCACATGATTCAGCTATGTCACGTATATCCTCAGTTCTTAATTTTTTATATAAAAAAATTGCAATAAGAAGATAAAAGAATGAATTATAATTGATTTAAACTCTGAAATTTATCTTAATTTTTAAAATATGATTAAGTGGATTAAAGACTAACACATCCATGTGACTAAAATCAAAGAAAAATATCCTATGGTCAACAAACCTTAAAAAAAATGTATGATAGGAAAAGATAATTTAAAAAATGTAGATTTCCTCATAAAGAAACTATGCATTTTGATGAGGAGAAAACTTGTAAAAGGGTACCTAAACCTAATGCAGTGACATGTTTGCAATTTTAACCTTTTGAATTTAGGGACCCTTTTGGTTTGGACTTTCGTTTCCTTTTTTCCTTTTCAAAGTAATGGGAAAGGAAATATCTTCAGAATTTTCAGGAATTAATAAATATAGTTAACAAATTCATAGGATTTACATTGTACTAACAATTCTTTTTCTACTGTTTCATCTGATAGTATTAGAAGACTAATGGGGCTTGAAAATGGGATTTTGTCCTTAAAAAAACCCAATTCTCCTGGGATCTGGCCCCGGCCATTACTGTAAGTCCATTGCTATATATGGTAAGTTGCCCCAAAAGAGAAAAAAAAACTTGAAATTGCCAAAAAAAAAAAAAAAACTGCACTTCCTTAAGGTAGCATCAATGATTAAAATGCCCATATTTCAGAACATAAGATATAATAAAGAGAAGATTAAAAAATGATCAAAAGCTATTAGAACTCTCACCTGAGTTACTGAAATTCAGTTCTTGAAATTTGATATCAGCTTCAAAACAAAGGAGTGAAAATGAAGCCTGAGTTTAACTCCGAATCCAAGAATAAATAACCAAATACAGAATCAGAATCATATTCCTATCAAGAATCCGCCAATACAACTTATCATAACCAAAATTCTGGTTTGCACAACCATAAATCCTGAAGACAATTGGATATATGTGCCCATCAATCAACAGTTCAACATGTTATCAAAAAGAATATGATGCTTTCCTTACACCAGACAAAACGATCTTCATTACAAAGCTCGCATTCAATCAAGTGATTTGAAAGAAAGTAAAAGAAATATTTTCTTACAGGGTACAAAAAGGAGAATAATCTGAAGTGGATACACAAAAGTGTTTTTCAAGTACGTGAATCCAACGCGAACTCCATTTGCATGTTAATAATTTCTGGGAATTAGAGAAATGCAATGTTTTTCAACACATTACTTGACATGAACTTTCATTTGCAGTTTTCAGATTTGCTTTGGAGGTAGGCCTTAGTGGGGTATATGTAGTGGCATGGCTTCAGGTTTTAAAATCTTTGCTTTCTTGATCTGATCGTTAGCAAAAAGGACTGAACTGAGAGTGGACATCAATCAAAAGAAAAGGAAAAAGCATTGAGTTAAAAGAGTTTTGGATCATGACAAAATAGTGATCAAAGAGTTTGCCTTTGAAATGAGGAACCATTAGTCCATGGCTATGGCTCTGCATGCCACTAGGATGGTGTAAAGGTTTCAAAGAGTTAGTGAAGCTGACATCAAAGTTCTTTGTAATATAATATGCATAGAAGAATTCATAGTTCAGTGTCTTCCTCATTTTTACATTCTATAATTGTATCACCTTGCAGGAGAGTTCTGATATTGGAACATTTCATCAATGATTAAATATAGCTTTTCTTGATTAAACGGCCATTTTTCTTTATCCTTTTATGAGCAAATATAACTTTTCATGATCTATATTAATTTAATTTATAAAAATTATAATCAAATCCGATTTTATTAATCTAATCAAATATTGTTTCGAGAAGAAAAGAAAGCATAACTAATAAACGTTTCAAAGACCATGAAAAATTGAAGGGTGACTTTACATTAAGGCAGTTGATCATGGTTTTAGATTATTGATTTTTTTAAAAAAATTAAAGTCAGGTTTAGGTTCAAATCAATCGAATAAATTTTTCGGTATAAGTTTTTGTCACCTCTGACGATGATATATAAACCTCTAGATTTTGATCCGATTTTCCTTGCAATCATGATATAATTTGTGATTCTAGCCATGTAGCTAGCTTATGCACACTATTGCCAATATCCCAATTTTCATATTTGGAACTAGTAAAAGTGAGGACATACAAAATTTTATCTTGATAAAAAGGAAATGACTTGTATAAGGTGTAGACTTACATATTTTCAATATTCTTTACCTAAAATTGCATATATAATTAGGCTCAAGTATGTAATTAGTATGAAAGATTGGAATATTTGCTGATGCCTGTTTGTGATGAAATTTTGGGGAATATTCAAAAAGTACCTAATTTCCCTTCTATTTATGGCTTGATATGTAGAGTTAATTCACTTGCTTTAAAGACCATAATTGCCAACTATTCAAATTATAAGCAACATCATTGAAATTTCAGGTTTATATGCTCCCAATATTTGTTTAATAAACAAATAATATTGATAAATAAAATTTTAGCTTATCCCTCAATAAAATTTAAAAACGTGTCAATCCTTTAATTTCATTCCCAAATTTCACCGATAATGTTCACAAATCTTTTGATTGATCAATCATTGAAAAAAAAATTAAGCTTTTACACCATGAATTCCACCTTGATTAAAGTTATACCTTTACCACTATAACCTTTCATCTTGACTTTGACAAGACTATATTAGATAGAATGTCATGTTATATGTTAGCCTAGATTGGCCAGTCTTCTTTCCTTTTTTCCTTTAACTACTCAAAGTTGATCATCCACAACATGTTCTCTAGAATAAAACTATGTACTCCAAAGCTAATTTGTGACTTCTCTCTACTTTTTGTTCTTCTCTCATTGAGAAAAAAAAAAAAGAAGAATATTGAACCAATGAAGATCGAGGGTCAAAAGGGATGGACTCCACTACATTAAACCAATTCAGAGAAATATTGTTGTTTCGTTTGAAAGAGATAAAAGGAACATAGAAAGTGCTCCCCCACTAAGTCTTACCTATCATCCACTCAACCTTCCTGCGCTTATGGGCGAATTTTGTACTGCCCATATATTTACACTTACATGGATAGAACAGCAGTGGGTTCAGAATTATTTCTGGGCATCTTTACTAATAATATAGATAAAATTATTGATAGATTTATCAATTTTGCTGACAAAGAAGGTATCGACAGAACAATTTTAGAGGTGTTCAAGAAAAAAAAAATTTTCATTTTTTTTCGTTTTATAATCTTTGAAAATGCCTTACTTTTGAACATGGATCCGCCCTATCAAAGAATTTTAGATGTTAATATCCTAATTTGCTGTAAAAACCTAGTTAAGGGGTGACAAGAAATCAAGGTTCTGCCACAAAGGTTTTTTACACTTTTCAATCCCCATAAGTTATCTCTAATAGTAATTATCGAATGATGATCTCAAATCAATATTCTCTTTCAATGATGAGTAGACTCCTTAATCATTGTTTATGATCAAGCAATATATTGATAATAATTTAATCACAAACTCGAATGGTTAAGTTAGATAACTCGTTTTAATAAATGATAAAGTGCAGTGGGAAGGCCTTATGCTCGAATTTGTTCTTCAAGGGACCTAGATGCATGGTCAAGACTCAAG